TTTAATACAGATGCCGGCGGTTGGGGCCCAACACCTCCCTCAGGGCATTCTAAAAAGCCGCCAAACCAGACACCTGGCTCTCGCACTTCCCAGCCACCTGAGAATGCCCGGGGGGGCAGCGGGAGCCTTGGGAGACCAGTGCTCATGACGTGTAAGGCTGTGCCCCAGGGGAAAGGTGACTTCCCCTCCTTCCCAAGCCACGTGAAGAGAGAATGCCAACGGAATCACTCGTGGACACTGGACAGGGGGACTAGACACCTCTGTCCCCAAATGGATACTTGCTCTGATGCAGAAATGTGCAGGACTGCCAACTCCTGCCGAAAGTGGTCCCTGTCTGAGCAGCCGTAGGGAACCTTACACGGGCCCTGGAAAGTTCAGCCTTGTCTGTGAACAGAGGGACTGACATCTGCTCTCCCGGGGATTTCTGTTGGAGTAAGGCTTGCTAATAGCCAATTAGAGACTGTGAGGTCATGCACCTGGAAAAGGTGCTACAGCTGCACCTCAGCTTTCCTGGGTCTGAGTCCTCAGAGAAAGCACAGGAGGACTTCATTCATCCCTGCCAATCCATGTAAAGGAGAACAGAGACCAGAGGAGAAAACAGGCTATGAGAAACACCGTCAACTGGTCAACCTAAACCCATGAACAACTTTGTAGAGTACAGACAGCGACCTACCAGAGACCTCCCTACTATTATTTAAGAAAGAAATTTCTATTTTATTGAAAAGTCCCTGCTTCCTTGTTCACCAACTTAGCCTGTACCTTAACCAACACAATCATTGAAAAGAATATTGGCCTTCCTACCCCCCATTCCTGGTCTCCACATCAGAAAGCTATATGTGGGGAAGGGAGGAGCAGGGGGTGTGTACTCCAGGTTGACGACACCCACCCCACCCGTGTATACATCAGCACTGAGCTGGAAGCCCAACCTCTGATATGGGGAAAGGCAAGGAGTTTAGGTGGAGCTGGGGATTCAACATATTAGATTGCACTATTAATACCTCAGAAAAAAACTGGAGAGGTGTAAAATCTGCTCAAGATACATTAAAGGGTTAGAAGGGGAGAATTTCAGATTCCAGTTGATGGAATGGCTGGAGGAAGATAAAAACAAAGTCTTATTTAGACTAGACACCACTGAGGTGCCTCATAAGCTAACTCTAATTAAAAACCCTCAGAAAGCCTTGTGACTTCAGAAAGCCTTTCAAGTCTCTTTTACTGCCTGTAATTTATTCTGATTCCTTTCTAATCAAATTAATTTCCAGAAAACTAAACAAAAACTGACTTCCTCCTTTCCCCATATTGTTTCTTTGTGTTCACCTTCTCATTTAAACTCGCACTCTCTCCCCTTCACATCCCAGGCATCCAGTCACCGTATTCTCTCTCACCCACGCGTGCTATTCTCCTTGCCCGTTACTCCCATCTCTGCACTCCTGACTTCCCAATCAGTTTTTCCCATATTCTGGCTCCCCGGGCAGTGTGTGTGTGTGTGTGTGTGTGTGTGTGTGTGTGTGTGTGTGTTGCCACCTCCAGCTGAGTCTCCAGGTCATCAGAGACAGCCATGCCAACACCAGGGTTTAATAACACCCCACCCCTCCAAAAAGTTCATATCCACTTAAGCCACAAAGTGTGACCTTATTTAAAAATACGGTCTTTGCAAATATAATGATGGTAAGGATCAAGACAAATTCATACTGGATTAAAGAGGGCCCTGAATCCATTGAGAGTGTCCTTATAAGAGACAGAAAGAAGGAAGACAGAGACTCAGAGGAGAATGCCTCAAGAAGACATGGGCAGAGATTGGACGGGTGCAGCTACAAGCCAAGCGATGCCAAGGACTGCTGGCGACCACGGGAAACTGGGGGGAAGGCTCAGGATGCTCCCCCCTCAGAGCCTCCAGAAGGAAACAGCCCAGTGGGCACCCTGATTTTAGGCTTCCGGCCTCTTGAACTGGGAGAGAATCAATTCCTGGTGTTTTAAGCCAGCCAGTGTGTGGTAATTTGTTATGGGAGCCATAAAAACAAACACACCCAGCAAAGCCACCAAGTTGCTCACAGTGCGCTTTTACTTCCAACTCTGCACCCACCGTGTACCCCCCCTGGAGGGCTTTCCCAGCCACAGGCCCAGGACCCTTGCACTGCCCCGGGGTTGCCCAAAAGCCTTGCAACAGCGTTCATCCTACCAGCCCTCCCTAATCATCTTTGCCACGTCCCATTTCTTCTAACCTATCACCTTATTAAGGAAAATAATTTATTCTCATCAAGGTGTTAATAACTGAAAACACATTAAGGCAAACTATTTGAATTGTGGCAGTTGATTGGGGCATGTGAAGGTCCGATCTACTGAATGGAGGGGATGCTCTATTTGTATGTGTTTTTAAGATGAAAGTGAGGAATTTAAAGACATTTCATACTCATGGCCATTCAGAGCTACTTATGCATCCAGCAAGTTTTTACTGAGTAGCTGCAATGGGTCACTCACTGTTCTCAGCACTGGGGATAAGGCGCAGACAAGGTTCAGAAGCCTCTTATTCTCCCAAAGCCTATGTATTTTTGCAGAGGGAAAACAGAAAACAAGCAAACAAGATAATTTCATGGAGAGATGTCTGCTGTAAAGAAAACCAAGTGATGGGCAGTGATGTGACAGAGAGTGACTGGAGGGAATGCTCCTTTAGATTGGGAATCACAGGGGGCCTCTCGGAGGAGGTGACATTTCAGCTGAGACACAAAGGTCCAGAACAAGCTAAGCAGACTCCCGAGAAAGACTAATCTCAGTGCAAGTACCAGGAGCAGAAGTGGCAGAGGTGGGAATCAATACGGTACATCGCGGGGGGAACAGCCAGAAGGCAACTGTGGCTGGAGCGTGGTGGGCAAGGGGGAGAGAGGAAAGAGATGCAGGGGGGAAGTAAGGCAGACTGCGGCAGCAGGTCCCAACGAGGAGCTTGACCTCTGTTCTAACTGCAAGGGGAGGCCCTTAACAGGTTGTAAGCAGAGGAATGATTAATTTTACTATAATTTACACCTTCAAAACAATCTCTCCAACTGCTATTGAGAGAATGTGTGAGGCAGGAGTAAAAGCAAGGAGGCTGGTGGGGAGGTTACATCATCATACAGGTGAGAGATGTTGGTGGCTCTGTCAGGATGGCAGGTGCTCTGCTTCAGGTTGCCCCGTCTGCACATGTGTGTAGTCAGGAAATAGTCAAAGGCTGTACCACTGCCCGCGTGTTGTAAATGTCTGTACTCATGAGCGTGCGGATGGAGATGCTATATCAATGGGATCTGAAAGTATAGTGGCTTAAACAAGGTGGAAGTTTACCTTCCTCTCGCATAACAGGTGGGCCATCCAAGACATGGAGAGGGGCTGACTTGAGCTGAACAAAATGGCAGAAGGAGGGCATGTCATCAACGGGCTTTCACCTCCAGGGACTAGGTGGTTCCTTCCAATTCTTACCCCTTTTCAAGTGGAAAGACATGACCCATTTTTCTTAGAGATGTGACCCAGACAAGCACTTAGCTTCCAGCTACATCTGATTGCCCAGAATTTAGTCACATATCCACATCAAGTTGCAAGGGAGGCTGGGAAATGTAATCTCTAGCTGAGTTGCCCTAATAAAGCTCACACAGTCTAGTGTTAAATAAAGAGAGAGTGAATATTGGCTACAACTAAAAATCTCTGCCACAACATTTTTTAATTTATCTACATAGTCATCAGTTATGGACTGAATTGTGTCTTCTCCAAAATTTTTATGTTGAAGCCCTAAATCCCAGTAATTTAGAATATGACTATATTAGGAGATAGGGGTTTTAAAGTGAGGTTAAATGAAGGCATAAGGGTGGAGCCCTAATCCAATATGACTGTTGTTCTTATAAGAAGAAAAAGAGACACACAGGTGTGGGCACACAGAAAAAAGGCTGAGGACACAATGAGAGGGCAGCCGTCTACAAGCCAAGGAAAAAGGCCTCAGCAGAAAACAAACCTACCGACCCCTGGATCTGGGGCTTCCAGGCTTCAGAACTATGAGAAATGAATTTCTGTTGTTTAAGTCACCAGCCTGTGGTATTTTCCTGCAGCAGCCCTAACAGGCCAATACACCATCCTTCTGGATAGTGGTCATGAGGCGGGCAATTTCTCGATCCTCATCCTTACCCCCGTCACAGCTAATTCATCCAGGTAGAAAGATTAGACAGAGAAAGTTGGGGCAGCTCACTGTCTCTGCTTCCAAACGTTCTTGGAGCTCAGCCTTTGGTTCTGGGAGATCCCTTGATATCCTTGAAACATGCACCCCCTTTCTCAAGTTGGTATCTGGAAAAATTCAACAGAGGAGAAAGAAAATATTTATCTAAAAAAATCAACTTTTTATGATAGAACTTTCATATGCCTACAACGTGTGGCTATTTCCATATGCAGCCAAAACATAGGTTTTATTTCATTCTAGTTTAAAATGTCAAAATTCTGTATTTTCAATGTCAACAATATTTTAGGGAGAACATATTGAAACCACTTAAAAATATTTGATCGTTTACTGATGTGCGAGAGAAACACTGATCGGTTGCCTCTCACATGCACCCGGACTGGGATCAAACCCTCACCCAGCAGAGTGTCCTGCCCGGGATCAAATGTGAACCTCTTGGGTGCACGGCATGGTGCTCCAACCAACGTGGCCAGGGTGGGGGAAGATTTTTTTTAAATTGTGCCTTAGGAGCTCTAAGTGACATCAAGAGGCTACTATTACCTCCCTTAGGAAAAAAAGAATTCTAAATTAGGTAAATGCCTTACAGAGGGAAACCTGTGCTGGTGAAACCTGAACAAAAGGAGGATCCTTGGAAATCTCCTTTTACCTTTATTTGCACATGCGACTCAAGAGAAAACCAGGTTTTACTAAAACAACCCCAGCGGATCCCTCGCCTTCCAGCCCCTCCCCCTCGCCTACCACCCTGCCTACTTTCTACCTTTCCCTCCCACCTCCGACCCCAGATGGGCAGCAGCCATCTGACACTCAGGAGCCACTGCAGGCATTTTTCAGTCTTCCCCCCAGGAAAATTTTCCCCTTTTAAGATCTTTGGGGCCCATCATTTTGCTTTGGGATCCATAGTTTTTCTTTTGGGTTTTGTGTTATTGTGCTGTGTGTCTATGCATGTCTACGTATGTCTGTTATAGATATGATACTGTTAGATGGTCCTGAGAAAAACTTTGATTTGTGAAGTCTAATGGGGACTGTAAAAGGGCCCTGTTTAATTGGCTTAAAGCAAAGGAGCACTCATACAAATTGGAGGAAAAAAACTAATGCAATTACTTTTCAAGCGCACATGATGTAGGATTAGCCTTTTGCAAAGAAAAACCACCTTAAGGGTGTTGGTTTAATTAAAGAAATGCAGTTGTCTGCTGCTCTCTAGCTTTGGAGCTTTCAGAGCAGGTGGGAAACCAGGGTAACAAGGCAGAAACCTTAATGCGTCATTTTATAACAGAGGCAGGCAAGATGCCTCGGTTAAAGATCCAGACACCTGCGACAATGCCTGATTAGGATTTTATGGTGATCGGAAATGACTGCACGTGTAGAGTAAGGTGTGTGTTTGGTAAAAGAAGGTATGAGGAATGGAAATGTATTTTTATTGAAAGAAAAGAAAGTAATTTTGTTCTAAAGTAAATGCAACAAGGAAAGAGGACAAAAGATGGATGGTTTATCAAAGTGGCAGAAACTTTGTGTATGTTGTAGAAGTTTTGCAGAAATGGAATTTTGAAAAGAAGTCTCATGCATGGTCAAAGGAAGACTGGAATGGATTCATTTAACTTCAAGTATGCTGATACAGATTTGGAAATTGAGTTTTCTGTCACTGCTAAAGGGACAAAAGTTTCTTCTTTTCTATAGTGTTGGTATGCTTTAGTAGGAAATTACAAAGGGAATGTCTCTTTACAAAAGGGGGAAATAAGACAAATGAGGCCTACCTGATGTTCGGAAAGTGCATTTCAATTCAGTTGCCCTCCTTCAAGGATAAAAGTGTATAATGATGATCCATGTATATTCATATAGGGGAGAAGGATTTCCATGTCCAAGGGTAACAGCTACAGGAGTTACTAAATTACTTCTAGAAAGGAGTTTCGCTGCTCAGAAAACCCCCAGAGTCCCTTGAGGAAAGGGGAACCCATTTCACTAGACAAATTCTACACCAGCCATGCAACACTTGGCTGATACCGTAGTATCGTCATTGTGCTTATCATCCCCAGTCCTCTGGTTTTATAGAACAAACCGACAACATAGGGAAAATTCAATTGGTAAAACTTGTTAAATCTTTTAATCTGCCTTGGCCTAAAGCTCTTCACTTGGCATTACTTAACTTAAGATGTATTCCTTTTGCTAAATATGTTCTCTTCTCAAATTGATACTGGGAGACCTATCCTATGAAGCTAGATCAGGGACTGTGGAACCTTTGTTATTAAGAAGGCCTTCTAACTTATTGCAAAGAATTTACAGAGGCTCTTGAAAGCAATGCAAGCTTGGAGAGCAGTCTTTCTACAGAGTGCTCCTGGGCGACAAAGACAGCAGCCATTATGGCCTACAGCTGGATTTATGGTCCATCAAAAAGAACATCTCTGCAAGGACTCCCCCCGAGAGGCTGGGCCACACTGGGTATGGTTAACTAATCCCCGAGTTGCAAGGTTACAGGGTACTGATAAATAAATGTGTTTTAAAAATAAATAAAATATTTGATCATTTAGAATGTGTAACATACTTCGCTGTTGTTTGGGGTGTTTTTTAGTGTTTTTGTTTTTGGTGTTTTTTTTTTTAGTTTATGAAACAGTCTGCTAGAGGCTGAGGAAAGTTCCCTGTTTGGGAGAGGGTCTGTGCGGGGAAACTCAGTGCTCTCCTGGAGGGCAAGGATGAAGACCGCTTGGATAAAATTTCACCAAGGTTCATTACTTGACAATGATTAATTGTGAAACTGGTCTATTGAGTAAGTCCATAAGGAAAGGGCTTCCCTTTTCCTTTTAATTGCTGCCTTACAACCAAGTTTTGTGGACTCTCTTTCAGAATCTATTCTGAATTTGGGGCAGACTCCACTGATTTTAGTGACAAGTCTCATTTTAGCAAATGCACCTGTACTTCATGCATTAAAATGTCCAAGCCAGTCCAATTTAACACCCATCTCACACCCAGTTCAAAAGTCTGCCTGGCCCTGGCTCAGGCCTTCCTTGCTGGGAAGTGGGGGAGGAATGTGGTCAGCGTCTTTACCCTTCCTCCATCTCCTCGGTCTTCTCTACGTTCTGGATGTCCCCAGGCTGCCGCAAGGGAAGCGTGCAGTGGACAGAGAGGAGCAAATCTCTCTGAAGCTAACTGCTGGACAGGGCAGCCAGGCCCCGGGCCTCTGCCTCTTATGATGACGGAGTCCAAATGTTGGCTCTTTCACAGGCACCTGTGGGTTATTCAGAACCTTCGGACAAACCCCACATTGCACAGTTCCTTGGTGCAAATGGCGCTTTCTCTGGCTGACTTCTAACAGCCATTTCCATCCCCACCAACACCTCTTCCCCCTCGTCCCATGGCCTCTATAGTCCCTTTATTGTACAAAAAGCTGCCCAGATGGCTGAGGTCCCCTCATGACAACTTCATCCCACTGCCCTTTCCATGGTCGACATGGCCTGCAGGAAGTTTGCCATGCCAACTAATGGGAGGGCAGACTACAATCACTTCTCCTTCCTCTCCTCTTCCTGCTGTTTGCAGGCTGCCCAAGCCAACCTTTTGCCTTCTGAATTCTCCAGGTGGGAAGCACTTGGTTCATTTATTCAATATTTATCATGCACTTATGTGTAAAGCATCGTTCACCAATCTCCATACTCACTGCCCACCCTGGCACCAACTCTAGGAGACACTTGTCAAGCTCCTCCAGGAGCTCTCACCCCACCTGTCCGCTGTCCTTGACCGTGCATTCCCATTGCCCAGCAAGCCTTCGGGCGGTGGACACCAGACTATGCTTCTACTGTGTTCAGAGACCCTCTCGTTTGCCTTTGGAAGAAATCCAAAGCAATCTCCCCACAGGCCTAGCACCTCCACTTCACGAATCCCTATTCACTCTTTTGAATCTAGACTTCTGTAAATGGTAAAATGAGCTGAGGATTACTGGTCTCTTTCTGCTATGTTTTTCCATAAGTCCAACCTAGCTGTGTCTAATATTTCTGTCTAAAATGTGCTTTTTGTTAGCTTTGAGGCATGCTTCAAAATTTTAATGCGCCAAAATGTCCTATACAATACCCAGTTACAAATAAATTTGGCTCTAAGGTTTTTTCATTTCTTTGGTGGGGGCAGGTGGCAGAGGATATTGTCAAGCAGGTAAACCCATGTCTTTGGCCTCAACAGCCTATGACTAAGGCTGTATTTCCTTTCATATACACAAACTACTGCATATTCATGTAGCTAGGTCAAAAATTTAATGATTATTCAGATGTGAAGAAAAAAAGCTGTCTTTATTTTCCACATCTGGTCTAACTTCTCCCCAAGCCCTAAAGTTGAGCAGGATGACAGAGCTCACCCAGAGGCCAGCAAGGATGCACAGGGCTCTCGAAGGAGCACTGCGTACAGGTGTGAGGTTGACTCTTTCCTTGCCACCACGAAGCCCCATCAACTCCTGCTCACACAGACCCATTTGGGGAAGGGGAGGACAGGATGGATCTTTGAATGACTGAGTCTTTAACCCACACAAGACTGTTTCAATCTGAAACAGAATGGTTCAACCAGAACAAACTGAGCTATCTGGAACAGGCAAGTTTGGGCAGCACCTCGGCCCCAGTCTGCTTCTGGGCTCAATGAAGCATGGCTTTCGCTCTGTCTTTCTTGAGCACGTACAGAGAATGTGGGCACCGTTTAGGCAATAGCTTAACACCATGATGTTCATTGGAATCCATGTATATGGGAGTTTCTTAAGTTGGATTTCCTGGCTTTTTCTTTTTTACATGCCCACATCATTGTTTTCAGTGTTTAGTATTAACTTCATGTTAAAAGCAGCTCTAATGTTAGCCCAAAAAAGTCCACGTTTGCTCTTCTCCTTTGGCCATTCCAAATAAGTGCGCTGTGTCATGAGAGATTTCAGCTTGTGATACTTGCTAGGAATGTTGTTCTGTGGAATGGGTTCCAGCAAGATCAGGATCAAGTTGTCAGATCCTTCATGGAAGAGATTGTGGTGGGCAAAGTAGAGTTCATAATGGCACCACTCGCTCTGGACAAAGTTGGGAGACAAAACAAAGATGGACTTGTAACTTTTCTCAATGCAGTTTATGATATTTTCCACAATGCTCTTGCCAGGAACAAAGTTCCTCTCATGGAGACAAAGCCGTATATCTTCTTTTTCTAGGCAAGGTACCAGTTCATTCTTCACCCAGGCAGAGTCGTGTTCACTGTAGGAAATAAAAGCGTGGAACTGCAGAGTCCTTTGCAGTTTGTCTAAAGGTATGTTCCTAGCCCTGCGCCGGGTCCGAGTCCACTGACACACCATCCTGAGATACCAGGGCAGATCCAGATAGATACAGAGGGCAGTCAGAGTGACAGCCAACACCAGTCCAGTGACCCCAATGGTGACAATCAGCAGAGCTGTGTTGCAGGTTAACGGAGACACATGAAAATCCTTCAGTAGGGTCCCCTTGTAGCTTCCTGGGTAGTCACACTGATAAGACTCAGGCCAACCCTCTACCACCCCACTTGATACTTGGCCTATACTTTGGATAAATTCTTGGAGCTCACACGTACATTGGAATGGATTGTGCCCCACGTTTATGGACCTAATCTTCTGGCAGCTCTCAAAAAAATGAGCCGATGGGTTGGAAATTGAGTTATAGTCAATGATCAGTACAGAGAGGCTGCCAAAGCTACCACATCCAGGCAGGTGGGCTAAGGAGTTGAAAGCAACATTGAGTTCTTGCAAAGCCTCTAGACTGGTGACATCTTCAGGGATTCTTGTTATTTTGTTATTGTGAAGATCAAGAACCCTGACCCTGGAAGGTAAACAACTGAACACAGAGTCAGTAAGTACATTTGAGGACAAATTTAACACCACTATACTCCCAACCCAAGTGCAATTTTGGTCATGTCTATCATATTCCAAATAATTCCAGCTCAAGTCCAGTATTTCCAAAGATGGCATTTTCTCAGTCATGAGACCCACTTTGAAAAGGTCTTTTAATTCATTCTTTTGTAAGATCAATGTCTCCAATCGAACTAAAGTGGAGCACTTCTGAAAAATACTATCTGTGAAAACATTCCGGGTAAAGTTCAAGACCTTAAATGTGCTTGTGGTTTGAGGACAAAGCATATGTATAAAATGTGTATCTGATATGGTTAACATCATAATGTTCATCTCAGAAAACACTGTGTATAATGCTGTCTGCGAAAAAAGAAAAACTCTGTTTGTAACATGTTCAATTGTCAATGCTTTCAAAGATGTTTCAGGATAAGTAAATTCTTCTTCATCAATGCTTTCAACAATTGTTAGATTGTAAATGTTGAGATATTCTATAGGTCTGGGCCAAAGGAATTGAAAAACTCTGACCAAACATTGCCAAGTTGTTTCCACATGGTTCAGTGTAAAATTCAGTAAATTTGGACCTCGAGTTGGTTGTGATAAAAATGTAGTAAAAACTTGACAGTTCATATCATTCAGCTTAATATTACTCAGTTGTAGGCATCTCAGACTGTTAACTGATATTTTTGCTTGGACAGAGAAGATATCATTTGGGTGAAAAACTAGGTGAAGTGTTTTTGTATTCAGAATTTGAAGACTTTCTGTCTCATGTTCTTTCACGTAATAACCTTCCAAATCCAGGAGGATGCCACTTAGATGCAAGTGAGCAATTGGTAGCAGGTCCAATGGTTGTAACTTTTTAGCACTTAATCCCAAGAAATTCAGTTGAGTCAAGTTACCAAATTCCTTACAGATGGGCAGGACATCAAAGGCATTGAATGAGAGGTCTAAATGCTTCAGATTGGTGATAGGATGGCAGGATATCTTCCGCAACTGATTGTGCGATAAATCCAGATATTCCAAATCCTGGTTGAACTTGAAAATGCTAATATCAAGGCACTGAAGTCTATTGCGGGAAAGCCTGAGAACTTTCAGCTGTGAGAGGAAGCTGATGTCGGAGAGGCGGAGCTCAGCTATAAAGTTTTGAGACATATCTAAGACTTTGGTTTTGGGTGGCAGGCCTTTCGGAACATGAGTGAGGCCTTGGTTTGACTTGTTTACTGCAAACTCACTTTCATCAGAGACCTGGACTGTGGTTCCAACTATTAAGATTACGATGTAAACAAAATGGAAGCTTCCGACAGTAGTCTTTCTGTCCTCCGTCATGGTGTGGAAGTGGCTAGGCCCCAAGAGGTTGTTGCTGTTCTTGCATCTTGATAAGCATCCAAATTCTAGAAATATAATATACATTAAGACCTATAAAGATTGTTCTCAAACCTCTACTTACTAAACACAAAATCTCAATTATTTCTTTATTCATGATTCCCATAAAATGGATATGTATTTTTCCAACTCACATTAGACCAGAAGCAGCACATTCAGAGAGATAGGATTCAGCGCTTGATCATCTGCTAAACATCAAGTCCCTACAGCTGGCAAACAGGAAAAGACAGGTAAATGTTAATAAGCACACTGAGGGAGTCAGAAGGCAGGTCAGGCTAAAAGCTGCTGTGTGTGAGAAAGACCAGTTTTCCGCAGCCAGGACTTCTCACTGCACTACAACATGGCCTAGACACTGACGTTCATGACAACTGGTGAAGGAGATGACCTGGCTGAGGGGTGGAGGCAGGTGCGCAAGCCCACAGACTCTGTATTTGTGACCAGGACGAAAGGTTGGAAATCTGAGAGTCACTGGACTGCATGCAAGATTTTAGAAAACCATCCAGGAGCCCCCAGGGAACAAGAGCAGGCAACAACACAAGCGCAACTTTGTGTAGCAGGAATAATTGGGGGCAGACTTTGACTAGCTGTTGTTCAGTGTTATTAACAAAAGGACCCACTGTTCATCACCTGAGGGTGCACTGGAATAGAAAGGGAGTTAGATGCATGTTTCAATTCACCATTCTTTGGAAGAGTAAGCACTCTTCTGGGTTGTAACATTTCATTAAAAAATGGCATATCATTTCTGTAAAATTATTTTTATGATAAAATTATTTAAATATGTATTGAGTGCCTACTACGTGCCTGGCACTGTTCTAGGCACTGGTGGCAGGCCACGCCCCTGACCTCATGGAGTTTGTAATGTGGTAGAGCTATGACTGCACATGGACCGGGCCACTGCTTTTCTTTTCTTTTTTTAACCAAAACCTTTTTTATTAATCTCTTTACCTTTTTTTACCCGATCCCCCAAACTCTCTCCCCTCTGGCATCCATCAGTCTGTTCTCTCTTTCTCTGAGTCTGTTTCTGTTTTGTTTGTTCATTTACTTTATTCTTTACATTCCACATGTAAGTGAGATCATATGGTATTTGTCCTCCTCTGACTAACTTATTTCACTTAGCTTAATTACCTTCTAGGTCCATCCATGCTGCTGCAAATGGTGACTTCATTCTTTTTTATAGCCACACAATATTCCACTGCATATGTGTGTATCACAGCTTTTTGACCCACTTGGTTACTGACGGGCACTTGGGCTGCTTCCATACCTTGGCTATTGTAAAATGCACTGCAACATGGGGTGCATATCTTCTTTCAAATTAGTGTTTTGGGTTTCTTCAGATACATACTCAGAGGTGGAATTGCCAGGTCATAAGGCATTCTATTTTTAATTTTTTGAGGAAACTGCATACCATCTTCCACAGTGGCTGCACAAGTCTGTATTCCCACCAACCCTGGACTGGGGTTCCCTTTTTCCACATCCTCACCAACACTTGTTATTTGTTGATTTATTGATGATAGCCATTCTGACAGGTGTGAGGTAACATCTCATTATGGTTTTAATTTGCATCTCTATGGTGGTCAGTGTGACATTGAGCATCTTTTCATATGTCTCTAGGCCATCTGTACATCCTCTTTGAAGAAGTGCCTATTCAGGACCTCTACCCACAAAATGGCATATTTTAAAAGCCAGTTATACTTCAATTTTTAAAATGGCATGTGAAAACATTTAAATACAAAAAACTTTAAAATGGCATATGGTTAAAAGTCTCTCACCCACTCCTCCCATACAGCTTCTTCCAGTTGTTCACCAAAATAACCATGAAAACACAGAAACACTTGAAAAACACCTTGCCACCTAAAATAGAGAAAGATGGAAAATTAATGGCAAGATTGAAAAACACTGACACTCATGAAAAAGAAACTGAGCTGTGTTAAGGGAAGTGCAGTGCACTCAAGCTTTGTCTTGGGAAAACAGACTCCCTGACAGGATGTCTGAACACGTTTCAACCCTCTCTGTGTTTGCCTCTGTGTTCACCAAGGGTGAACAACACCAGGTAATTAAGTAGTTTTTCTGTCCCCCTGACGGTACTGATGTGGGCTGGTCACCACACTGAGTTTCCCTTCTAGGCCACCGTCCTCCAGGTCCTCCTCACACAAGGATAGACACTCAGGCAACAGCTGAGCAAGAAGTGCTCTTACCGCTTCTATTCAACACACTATATGGGAAGTCCTAGCCAGAGTCAATTAGACAATAAAAAGAAACAAAAAGGATCCACATTGGGAAGGAAGAAGTAAAAAGTACCTCTGTGTTCAGATGATGTGATCTTACATGTAGAGAATCCTAAGGAGTCCACCAAAAAACTTTTAGAGCTAATGTACAAATTCAGTAAAGCTGCAGGGTACAAAACCAAACAAGATCGGTTGTTTCTCTATACACTAACAACAACTACCTGGAAAAGAAATAAACGAAACAATCCTATTTAATTACATCAAAAAGAATAAAATACATAGGAATAAATTTAACGAAGGAGGTGAAAGACCTATACACTGAACACAGAAGACTTTGAAGAAATTGATGGAACACAAATAAATGGAACAATATCCTGTGTTCATGGGTCAGAAGAAAAAATATTGTTAAAAATGTCCATACCACTCAAAGCCATCTGTAGATTTAATGCAATAGCTACAAAAATTCCAATGATATTTTTCACAGAAACAGAAAAAAATTCTAAAATTCCTCTGGAACCACTAAAAACCTTCCAAAAATCATGCAATTCTGAGACAAAACAGAGCTGGAGGCATCACAATTCCTGATTTCAAACTTTATTACAAAGCTGTAGTAATCAAAACAGTGTGGTGTTCACATTTTTAAAAAAGACACACATGGGCCAATGGAACAGAATTGAGCACTCAGAAAAAAAACCATGCATAAACTGTCAACAATATTTGACAAGAAAATAAAAAATACTCAAAGGGAAAAGGATAGTCTCTTCAATAACTGGTGTCAGGAAAACAGTATATGCATGTGCAGAAGAAAAGTTTGACCCCTGTCTTATCCCACTCACAAAAAGTTTACTCCAAATGGATAAAAACTTAAGACCTAAAACCACCAAACTCCTAGAAGTAAACACTTTCTTCTCCTAGAAGAAAACTTGACATTGGTCTTGGTAATGATTTTCTGGATCTAACACCAAAAACAGAAGCAACAAAAATGAAAATGAAAAAGTACAGTTACATTGAAATAAAAGGTTTCTGCAAAGCAAAAGGAACAATCAACAAAATGAAAAGTCAACCAACACATTGGGAGAAAACACATGTGAACCATATTATCTGATAAGGGGTTAATATCCTAAATATATAAGGAATTCATATAACCCTATAGCAAAAAAAAGTAAAAACACAACCAAATAATTTAATTAAAAATTGGCAGAAGACCTAACCAGACATTTTTCCAAAGAAAGCATACAAATTGCCAAAAGGTACATGAAAATATGCTCAATATCACTAATCACTGGAGAAATCCAAATCTAAATCCCAATGAAATGTCACCTCACACCTGTTAGAAAGGCCATTATCAAAAAGTCAACAGAGCCCTGGCTGGGTGGCTTGGTTGGTTGGAGCATTGTCCCATAAAATGAAAGGTTGCTGGTTCCATTCCTAGTCAGGGCACATACCTAGGTTACGGGTTCCAACCCTGATCAGTCCCCAGTTGGGGCATGTAGGGGGTCCAGCCAGTTGATGTTTTTCTCCTTATATTAATATTTCTCTCTCTCTCTCTCTCTCAAAGCAATGAAAAAAATGTCCTTCAGTGAGGATTGAAAAAAAGGACAAGAGATAACAAGTGTTGGCAAGGATGTGGAGAGAAGGGCCCCCTTGAGCACTTTTAGGGAATGTACATTGGTTCAGCCACTATGGAAAATAATAAAGGGTTTCCTCAAAAATAATAAAAATGGAACTATCTTGTAATCTAATGATTACATTTCCAGGTATATATCTAAAGGAAATAAAATCACTATGTCAAAGACGGAGTACCCCCATGTTTGTTGACACATTACTCACAATGAGACATGGAAACGACCTAAGTGTTCATTGATAGATGAATGGGCAAATCAAATGATATATATATACAGGGTCCAGCACAAATAATGCTCCTTTTTTATTACAAAATCTTTTATTTCAAAATCATAAGCATGTACTTCTATAATGTAACAATATCACACTCAAGGACATCATATGACATTTTAGGCGAGATGTTCAAAGTAAAACTATAAGTTATTATACCCATATTATTACCCTTCCAACCACACTCAAGCAGGCCTTACTTCAGGCCTTGCTTCTGCTGGACCCTCTATGTAAATGTCAAGTCATTAGCAACTGTAGCACGATGTTTCTTCTGCCCTGGGAGCAGAAGCTGCTGAACAAATTTTGCCACGAGACGTTTCATGCCACAGTCCTGCATCGAAATCTGGGACACAGTGGTTTTGTGTCCCCACAACAGCTTCTAGTTCTCACACTGTCAGTGGCTGGTCTTTGTTGATTGCAGCCCATACATTCTCAGGTGTTCTGCTTGGTGCAGGCCTTCCAGAATGTGGGTCACTTTCAACAGATTCTCAGCCATCTTTGAAACATTTGTGCCACACTTTTATTTGCCCTGCACTCGTTGCATCACCCTCAAAAGCCTTCTGAATCGTCCAAACAGTTTCTGCAGAGGAATGTTCAAGCTTAACGCAAAGCTGGATACAGATTTGTTGCTCTACTCACTCAGTCATTTTGAATGCAACAGCGTCTACCGCCCCCACTGACTAGTACAGTGAAGTCCTCATTGTTCATACAAGTGCTTTCCAGTCTCCTTGGCTGCCAGGTTACAAACCGTTCTCGTTATATTAACAATGGCTGGACTTTCCCAGACAAATCTCAAGTGTATGTGTATGTGTGTACCACCCTGACACCTTGATGGCATTACACTAAGTGAAATAAGTCAGAGGAAGACAAATGCTGTAGTATTTCATTTATACGTGGAATCTAAAAAAGCCAAAAAAAAGTAGTTGCCAGGAGCTGGGAGGTGAGGAAATGGGGAGATGGTGGTCAAAGGGTACAAACTTCTAGCTGCAAGACAAATGTGTTCTGGGGATCTCAGGTGCAGCCCAGTGACAAGAGTTAACAGCATTGTATCACATACTTGAATGTTGCTAGAAGAGGAAATCTTAAATATTCTCACCACAAGAAAAGGTAATTATGTGATGTGACTGATGCGTTAACTAACCTTGGTGTGGTAATCATTTTGCAGTATGTATGTTATCAAATTATCACATTGTAGACCTTAAAGTTACAGAGTGTTATATGTCTGTCATATCTCAATAAAGACAGAAGAAGAACTGGGCGAGAGGTAGGGAGGAACTTGAGGGGCGCACTGCATTCTGAGACGCACAAGCCATACACGGTACTTGTAGCTGTATTCATCGGGAATTACAGTTTGTATACATAAAACTCCATTAGATCAGAGTATCAGAGAATCTGGGCAACAGGATAGGGGAGGCTACTACTTTATATGACTAAAAATAAATCACTCACGATGAAAATATAACTGATAAGAACACTTATGCACTGAATAATATTGCATCAAAATTTACCAGGTACGAATGCTAAAAACACAAGGAGACATTGACAGTGAAATTATTTAGTGTAGTTCTCTGGGTTGTAATTAGATCAATTCACAAGAAGTAAACATAATGGAGGATTTGAATAAAATAATTAGTTAAACAAAGATTTACAAACTTTGTAACTCCTAAAAGAGAACTTTGTATGTCTAAATTCCCAGTGTTTGTGGAGCCTTTACTAAAATGAACTGTTTCTTAGGTTAAATAAATTTTTTAATAAATACTCTAAAGCAAATATTAAAGTCACACTCCTCACTACAAAACAAACTTTTCCAACCACTTTTTAAAATGTTATAACTATTTTCTGGATCAAGAAAATCACATTTTTAATTGGACTTATGAGAGTCGACAGAATGGTACACACCCGCACCAGCCTCCTCCTCTGACCTAACTCCCCCAAACGACGAAACACACACACACACACACACACACACACACACACACACACAGAAGCAGGAAGGAAAGTTCTTAGGGAACTGAAACCAGGAGAAGTGCCTGAAGTTCACACACAGATTGGACACGATAGACAGAATACGAGCTTCACAAAGATGTTCACCCCCTAATTCCAGAACCTGTGAACATTGCTATTACATGGGAAAAGGGAATGAACATTCCAGCTGGAGTTCAGGTTGCTAATCAGCTGACCTGACAATGGGAAGAATATCCTAATATAATCACCAGAGTCCTGGCCAGTGGAAGAGGGAGGCAGAAATAACAACTATCGTTTACTACTTGCTGGCAGAAATGAAAAATTAGACAACCTTTCTGAAGGGCAATTCGGTCAGTTATACAAATTCTTCACACCTTCGTTTACCCTTATTTTAGCAATCCCAGTTCTCCGAATAGTCTTCTAAAGGAATTAACAGAGGTATGCTTAAAAATACTACTGTGATGATGCTCATGACATAATGAAAAGTTGAAAAAATGATAGTGTCTAGTGTAGAAAGTGGTTTAACCAATTATGGCACACTCATAACGTGAAATGGCATGCAGTCTCAAATACTGCACTTCTGAAAAAAAATAAGGTCTACAATGTACTGTTACATGAATAAAAGAATACAAAAATGTACATGTGGTAGGACTCTAATTTTGTAAAATATGATTAAAACCTGACATATTCAAAGCCTAGGGAAAGAAAGAATGGGAAGAAACATCAAATGCAGGCAGTAGTTATCGCTGGATCTCTGAATCATAAAGTTAATTTCCTTTCTTATGCTTTTGTGTGTTTCCAAAATTTCTAATTTTGAACATCTTTATACATCAAAAAAGGTTTGTCTTAAAATACAGCTAATGTAAAAATATTTTATATTCAAAGAAACATGCTTGTACTAATTGTATATAGAGAGAACTCCTTCCACATGTTGTATATAATAGGCATTTATGAATGAGAACCTACCTAGAAGTCCCTCTCTGGCGGCTGTGTTCCGGGAACTGTACTTTAGTGGTGGAGAGCTGATCGGCTGCCTTTACAGCTCCCCGCCCCCCAAACACAATATTTCTTCAGGGGCATTTATGCCCTCAGGCACTTCCCAGTGTATACACTTAACAAACCAGCCAGGAGCTTTTATAGTTAAGAAAAAATAAAGGAGAGGAAAAAGGGAGATGAGAGTGGATGATTGGAAAGTTCATAACTTTTTTTAAAAGGAAATAAAAAGAGATAAAAAGGAAAAAGATGTTTCTTCTTTTTATTTAATGCATCAAATGAAAAGAGGGAGAACAAAAGACATATGGAAGAAGCTCTCTTTCAAGAAAAAAAAGCCACAGTGGAGAGGATCTATGAAAATTAAAATTATAAGGGAAGATAAGAAAAATTTGGAGGTGAGACACCATAATCAAGTCAACAAGTGTGCAAGAGAAGCATTGTTATGCTTGCTAAAGTTTGGGTGAGAGACCCAGAGAAAGGCAAGTCCTAGGTCAGTCCCTGCCATTTCCTTCACACAACTGTTTATTCAGAGTGTGCTACGTGCCAGGACTTGGCTGGCGTTAGGCACTGGGGATATAAATATGAATAACACCGGCATAATCCCTGCTTTCCAAATGCTAATATATTAGTGACAGATACAAACAAGCAATTATAGAACCACATGACAGGGGAGATAAAATATTCTTGTCTGCTATAAAGACGCATCATATGTGACAGGTACTGTATCAGTGGCATAAACTACTTCGTTACTGAAAAAAGGAACTAGAGAAGGTGAAAAGACAAAAGGTAGTAAACAAAAGCAGAAGAAATAAATGTCATCGGTTAGTATTTTTCCTTAACTATGACTACAAGTGCTTTTCATGATAGTCATATCTTTATCTTTGTTACATGTTTAAAAGGACGTGTGCAACACTAAAATAAAAACACTTCAAATCAATCATCTTGCAAAAATGTCCAAAAAAGTTACATATTTCCTATACAATCGCTAGCATTTTCTTCCTTGTTTGAAGTAATTATGTCATAATTTGAAAAAGCCACAAAAGCCTGCTTACTTACCGAGATTTCTTTTTCAGGAGAAGAGAAAATAACTCATAAATGCAGGAAAAGAAGTGACTGACAAAGTGAAAGCCCTTTGAATACCATAGAAACGGTGTGGGGCCATCTGTTGGACCTTCCTGGAATTACTCCTGTTGGAGAATTGCCCTTTCAAAGGTTACAGTTCAAATCTGTGAGTAAGCAGGTTTCTATGGGTTACAGACTGAAACAGTAATCAGATTTTTAAATCATATGAGCGAGCAGTTTGTGACAATTTCAGTGTGAAGAAAGCTGTTTCTGAGGTAGTATTTATCTGTAAGAGTTTGCAGCCTATACATGAAATTGTCACCAGAGCGGAAACTTATTGAACTTTGCCTATTTTCTATTATCACCGCACTTAACACTTCCAAAGTTATTGCAACTACATTATTGAGCAATTCTGGAGCACTATCTTAGCTGGATGAGGTATGTTAAAATAAAATAAGCTCAGGTCCGAGATTTTTTTAAGTCGCCTTTCAAGGAAAGTTTAGTAGTTGATGCACACACTTGTATACCTGGGGGGAAATGCATCCTGTTCCCCCCCCATTCTGACCAACACTCAGTGTTCTTAGGGGCTTTAATTCTAGATTCTAGAAATAAATAAGACTGAGATCCTATAGGACTAATTAAAATTTTAGTTTTCTACAGGGAATTTGGAATAATTTTAGGATGCTATTGTCAAATGGACTCAAAAGGAGTCTGGAGGCTCTGGCTAGGAGTAAACGACACAGGTTTGTTCAAGGGTCTTGGAGTTAGAAACTGGAAACACGAGAAGGACCGAAACCCAGAGTGTTCCCAAGAAGAAAGAAAAGGCCCAAGTTCTCAGGCTAATTAAAACAAGAATAGACTCCTTTCCTCATGTCTAAACCTACTGGATTTCGGTAATTTAGCAGCTTGACTATAGTGACTCCATTTTATCCCTTCACTCTTTCTCCATGTAAACAAGCGCTGATACAAAAAGAGGGTGCCTGGTTAACCAGAGATTTCAGGCAGCCAAAAGTCCCTACTCTTGACACTTTCCACTTAACTGACATTCTGTAAAGAGCTGAACATTGGAGTTAAATAATCATTCCGTAATTAATCCCACTGTCTGACATTTACCTCATCTTACAAAAAAACCAGTGAAGACCCTACGGTTTGACAATTGACAAAGCTGGACATCTGGGAAGGATCACTTCTGCTTTCAGAGGGAAAGGAAGACCAGCTTGTTACTATTCATCCTTACTCACCAAACATAACAGGAAGTCTTCTAGGCTGCATCAGCAAGTAGATGGGTCTCTGTGGGACCTGCAAAAGGACGCAGCAAGAGAGCAGTGAGTATCTGTGGAAACAGGAGGAGGGGAGCGGGACCGGCTGTGGTTCTGAGGAAATTTCAAGCCACACTGAAGTCTTTAAGAAGACTTCACAAACACTTGTGCGTGCGCATGCTCATATCATTGTAGATGTGGTCACGCCGCACAGTGCCTTTAACACACAGCATTGCATTGCCTTAGGGCATTGCGTCATCACGCTGGTTTAGAGGAACAGGAGACTATTCTTGTTGCAGCTGTTATCATTCCAGGAAATGTCTTTACAAAGATAACAAAAGTCAGGTAACGTGGAAGAGGGCATGGCCAACACACAGGCCGCACAGGCTGGCTACATTCACAATGCCGGGTACCCACTGTGTGGCCCTGGCTGGGAAAGTTGCTTAACCTCACAGAGACTCCTTTTATTCATCCACCAGATAGGTATCTTCTGACTGGTAGGAAAGATGATGAATACAGAGTGGCTGCAATAGGGACTGATACAGAAGAGGAGTCATTAGAATGACTGTGCAAGGAGCTTTGGAATTCTGTGCAAGCCTTATGCTGTTATACTCTGAGGTGGAAAGACTTCGGGATATGATATGAAGAAAAGTAAGGTATAGAACAGTATAGAGAGTGTGACTGCATTTGTGTAAAATCTGGTCTATAAGACATCTGCATAGGTGATCTTGCAAAGCATTGTTCCATGTACTTTACAAGTGTTAATGCATAAAGGTGCTGAGACAAGTACTATCATTATTCCCACCCAAGGGAGACAGGGGAGAGTAGTTAGTAAACTGTCTGAGCTTGTACCACTGGTCAGAGGTGGGGCTGGGCTTTGAACCCAGATGCAATCTATCTCTTGTGTCTATGTGCTCCAGCGTTACACTATGGTGCCTATAAGACACCAGGCATCTTTATAAGATGTCTTTATAAGACGTCTTTATAAGATTCCCACTCAGAGGAAGACAGAGAGAGAGCAGCAGGCCATTCTGGAAACAGAGGCAGAGACTGGAGTTCTGCAGCCTCGAGTCAAGAAATGTCTGGAACCCCCAGAACCCAGCAGACCTGCCAACACCTGGTTTTGGACTTCCGGCCTCCAAAACTATTAAGAGAATAAATTTCTGTGGTTTTAAACCACGCAATTTGTGGGAATTCCTCATGGCAGACACAAGGGTCTGCATACATATGCTGATATACGCATAATTTTTTCTGAGAGGATACTTTGAGTGAGTGAGCCAAGGGAGAGACGTATTTTTATTACCATTGTATATGCTCTTTTGCTCCATTTGAATTTTAAAAATATGCACATACATTACTATTTCATGCATTTTTTCTTTATGAAATGAAGTGGCATCATGGTGGGGGAAGGAAAACAGTGTAATATGAACACAGACAGAGCTGCCTTTCTCTTTCTCTAGGAAAAAAATGTATTATTAGTGTTTGAAACAAACTTTATAAAAATTATCAAAATACACAAACCACATAAAATAAGATTGATAACTTAGATATTAAATATTGGTATTAAACCCAAATTATCTGCTGCATTAGAAAGAATCAGCCAAAGTTTGGGATTGGCTGATCCCAAAAGATTGATATACAAAATATATAAATAATTTCTACAGATCAATAAAAATAACTAAGAAGTCCAATGGGAGGATTAGCAAAGACTATAAACAGATGAATAACAGAAAAATAAATAGAAATATCTCAAAAGTATGATAAGGAAACATCCTTATTAAATATGGGATATATAAATTAAGGGAATCAGGAGACACCATTGAGATGGACAAAAACATGAAAGCATCTAACAACATCAAAACGTTGGTATGAATGTGAGAAAACAGCTGTCAAACACATCCAGAGATTCTGACTTAAATTGTGTGGGATGGCGCCAGACATCAGTATTATTTTAAAAGCTCTTCACGTGATTCCATTCCAACACAGTGAGGATCAGACTGAGACAGAGCAGTTTCCTGAGACCAAAACCCAGTCCGGAACACATCACCCTCTACTGGTTCCTGTTTTCTCAATTGCATCCTTCACACTTCACAGCCTGGAGGAGAGAGAGCCATCCTTAACTCTCAGCTGCTACTTCCAGATCACTGTTCCTCCCTGCACCTCTGAAACCTACCCCTCCTGATTGCAGTGGTCCACAGAACCTCATCACACCCTCATGCATATTTTAGTGCCGCTCACTGTCTAAGCCCAATACCACCCCTGCCGTACGTAACTCTAGTGATTTCAATAGCTATGTAGACATTCTTTCATTCCCCTGGCTTCTTAGGTATTTGATATTCCCTCTCCTAATGATCTTTCCCTGCAAGCTGCTCATCCCTGCACTCCCCTATTATAACCCAGGTATTATGATTACCAATGGATATCCCCTCTCCATAGTCTCATTTGCCAGCATCCCACTTTCCAGGTGCCACCTCCAACTCTTTCCCTCTGGTGCCAACAATTCCTTACCCACTGCACTGGACTGAAAGATCATGATCCACCCTTTCAATCATCTCTCTGCATTCACCCGCAGCTCCTTGACTCTTCTCTCCTCAACCTGGGTTAAATCCAACCAGCCACTGGACTACACCAAGCCTGAGCAGCTGAATGTGGTTGGAAAAATACACACTGATGATGACTGTCACACTCAACATTCATGACGGGGTCCAACCTCCAGAGGGGGCAGCAGTACTACCTGTCCCACTCCCCTTCCCCAGCCCAGGGACGCTCCCCCTCTCACCTCACACCTCCTGCTCTCTCTTACACTTCCAACACCTCCTTCCTTCACCCTCCCAGCTGCTGCTGATGGTGCTTTATTTTTCACGAAGAAATAGCTGCAACCAGAAGAGCATTTCCACATGTGTGTTACATGCCATTACACTATGACCACACTACGACTGAGTGACGTCCCCAGTGTCCCATCCTCAGCAGCCCTGCTCGGCTCCTGCAGACTCCTGCCTACGGCTCTTTTCATGGAGTCAATCCCTCTCCTCTTGGTCTTCCCCTTTCCTTTCTGCCCTCTGTTTTCCTGGCGCTGTTGTCTGGGAAAGACGATGTGCCCCAAACAGGACAGCTTCAATGCTGTCATTTTAGCCTCCAGGGATGTTTCCTGCCTAATTTTCTCTAGGACGCACTCGTTCGTCTTTCTGGGAGTCCAGGGCATCTGCGGAGCTCTCCTCCAACACCATGTTCCAACTGAATTTACTTTCTTTCCCACCGGCCTTTTCCACAGTCCAGCTTTGCTTTGTAAGTAGTAACTGGGAATCTGAGGATGTGGATGATCTTAGTCACATCCCCCGTCCCCCGCCCCCTGCCCAAACTCTACTAGCCAACCCACTCTATCTCCTGAGTAAACTCCCTGTGTCAAGAGCCAGGTCGTCCCTGCCGAGCCCTTAACCCCACTCCTGCTCGCCCACTGAAGGAAGCCACTTTCGCAGTCAGACTCTCGACTGCATCATCATTTGTCTCTAATGTACGATTCCAGTCAGCACGTAATGCTACAATTTCCCCATATTTAAAAATATATTCTAAAAGTAAAAGCCAAAAATAAATTCTTTCCTTTGAACCTACAACATTTCCCTCTCTCCTCTTTTTTATACCAGAACTCCTTGGAAAAGTGGTGTTTTACTCACTGCCTCTGATTATTTTTCTCCCATCCCCTGCAGCCCGCTCCGAATAGGTTTCCTTCCCCACCACTCCAGAGAAATCGCTCATCAGGGTTACCAACGACCTCCACATTGCCAAGTCCAAGGGTCGATTCTCGATTTTCTTTTTTTAATTACATAGTATTGATTATGCTATCACAATTATCCTAATATTTCCTCTTTGCCCGCTACAACCTGCACCCCCACTCCCTCATGCAACACCCCCCCACCTTTGTTCATGTCCATGGTCATATGTACAAATTCTTTGGCTGCTCCATTTCCTATGCAGTACTTTACATCCCCATGGCTCTTCTGTACCTACCATTCTTAATCTCTTCACCTCTTCACCCATTCTCCCACACACCCACTCCCATTTCTTTAACCTTAGGTATTTTAATTATGATGTGTCTTGGCGTGGGCTTCTTTGCATCCATCTTGTTTGGGACTCTCTTTGCCACCTGGACTTGCATGTCTATGTCCTTCAGCAAATTAGGGAAGTTTTCTTTTTTTATTTTTTCAAATAAATTTCCAATTTCTTGCACTTTCTCTTCTCCTTCTGCACCCTCATGAAGTGAATGATGGATTGTTTAAAGTGGTCCCATGCGCTGCTTACACTATCTTCATATTTTTTGAATTCTCTTTTCTTCTTGTTCTGAACAGTTGTTTTTGTTTCCTGTGTTCCAAATCATTGATTTGATTCTTGGCTTCATCCACTCTCCCGTTGTTTTCTTGTAAACTGTTTATTTCAGTTAGTGTATCCTTCATTTCTGACTGGATCATTTTTATGCTGTTGAGGTCCTCACTAAGTTACTTGAGCATCCTTATAACCAGTGTTTTGAACACTGCATCTGACAGATTGCTTATCTCCATTTCATCTAGCTCTTTCTCTGAAGTTTTTTGATCTGTCCTTTCATTTGGGCCTTGTTTCTTTGTCTCCTTGTTTTGGCAGCCTCCCTGTGTTTGTTTCTATGTATTAGATAGAGCTGCTTTGACTCTGTGTCTTGGTAGCATGGCCTAAGGTAGTAGGTGTCCAATAGGTTCCAGTGTCAGCCTTCCCTGTCACCCAAGCTGGGTATTCAAAGTGTGCCCTTTGTGTGGGCTGAGTACACCCTCCTCTTGTAGTTGAGCCTTGGTTGCTGATGGCAGATCAACGGGAGGGAGTTAACCCAGGCCAGTCATCTGCAAGGACTGGTTGTGACCACTTACCACCAAATTTGCCCTCCAAGGAGAATCAGGTGTGCAGTGGCAGGGTGGCAGTGCTTTGATGTGGTCTGTACCTGTACACTAGGTGTGTTGGCCCTGGGGTTTCCCAGGTGGTGCAGGCCAAGATCAGTCCCCACCTGCGTTTTTCCCAGGGCCACCCTGCCTGAGTTATAAAGCAATCCGATATGGCAGCTTCTTCTACTGGGCTTGGAGACTTCCAGGCATAGCCAAGCTGTGCATCTAGGCTACTAGTTGCCATGCCTGGGGCTCACTGAGGCCACCTGCTGCTTGTTTGAGAAGATTTAGGAAGTTGTGAAACATGAGCCATCCATACAGAAAAGCAGCTGGGGTAGGCCTGTAAACTGGGTGGGTTGGAGTCTCAGGGGACCTCCAGGGCAGGGCAACCGGAGCATTAGCCAGGTTGATGGAGTCTCAGATATGACATCAGTCTGCTGACTCTGTGGGGGCAAGGCCCAGAAGACGGATGATGGCCTCTGCTCACCTTCATGCCAGATACCTCAGCCTCCCCCTGCACACCCTGGTGCCCTTCAGGCAGCCTCCCTGGTGCAGGAGCCCAGAGGGAGGGAGGGAGTCTGAGTGAGTCCGTCCTGGAGTGCGAGTTCTTTAAGAGGAACTGCTTGGGGCTCCAGAAGTTTCTTCCACCAACGCAATCCCCACTGGTTTTTACAACTAGAAGTTGTAGGGACTCATCTTCCTGGCATGAGAACCCCAGGCTGGGGGGCCTGGTATGGGGCTGGGAGTACTCACTCCTGAGATATCTCTCCCAAAATTATATCCACCACGTGTGGGTGAGGGACCAGCCTGTTCTGCACCTGCACCCTTCCTACCAGTCTGGATGGGTGTGGCCTCTTTAACTCTGTAGTTGCCAGACTTCCGTTCAACTCGATTTATGATGTTGCTGAGTGATGTTCTACATTTTAGTTGTAATTTTGATATGGTTGTACAAAAAGGCGAGCCATTTTTGCCTATGCCTCCATCTTGACCAGAAGTCCTCTTTCACTCCAGATTTTTTTAAAAGAATAAAAAAACTTTTAAGTTGCAGAAAAATAAAAGTTTTGAAGTAAAACCTGGTGGGCTTGGAAACAACAACATTCGAGCAAAAGGGCACAGTTTACAGTCAACAACAAAACTTGCTGCTAGGATTGCTTGATTAATATTCTTTTGTTTTGGGTCACAGGAGCAAAGGAAACCAGTCCCACAAAAGAGACGGTCTGATTGGGACAGCAGAGAGGGGCAGGTGCAGCAAAGGTTTGAGCTGTCCCCCGGGCAAGAACGTTTTGTCCATAGGACATCAAAAGACACCTGTCCCACCTGGAACACAATTTGCTAACACAATTGCAGAACTCAGAAAGAGTCGCTGTTTTAAAGATTATAAAATACATACGTAGTTTTACAAGAATAGGCTTATTTATACTAAGCGGGTACTCTTCTCAGCTTCCCCTGCCCTTGACTTAATGTTCCAATATGGCCTTCCTCCCATGTCAGTGAATCCGACCTGCAGACATAATTCGTAATGGCTACAGTGTACCTGACTGTCGGGAGTTAATTTACTCCACCAGCCCTTTATTGTGGGACAGGCTGCTTCCGGTTTCCCCCGGTGTAAACAGCTGCAATAAACATATCTGCACATTCGACTCTTAGGACACATTCACAGATGCGGGGCCAAAGCTAACGGATTTGAGTTTTGACCCACATTTCCAAATAGACCTTGTAGAAAGTGCTTTTGTTTGTTTGGTCCCTCGGTTTTAAAATCAGACCGCACTCCCACAAACAGAGTCAGAGAAAGCTATTTAACGCACAGTCTGCAGACCGCAAGCTTTCGCTGAACTTCAGGCCCCCCTTCCCAGCACAACTCGGCGGACTCCTCAGGGCACTTGTAAAAAGGAAGGAAAGGGATCCAGCGAATGCCGAGACCCGTTCTGCGTGGGGCGGACGCCCCTCCGGCTCTCGCTGCAGGAACAAAGCTGGAAAACCCAAGTTTCTCGGGGAGGGTGAAAGCGCAGCTGGGACCCTCCCAGGCCCGGGGAAGCGGGTACCGAAGCCCCCAGCTGCACTCCTGGGCCTGCGAGGAGCACGCGGGGCAGGCCCGACCCGGGGCCAGCCAGGGGCGGGGCGCTCGGCCGCGAGTCCCCTCCAGGCCCGCCCTCCGGCCGCGTCCCCGCAGGCCCTGCCGACGTGGCGGGGCGGGACCCGCCCGGAGCTCCAGCGCGCACTCGCCAGCCCGAGCGGTAAGATCCCGGGGCACCCTCTCCCCGTCCCCTTCTCCCGGGCAGCGGGGACGAGGGGTGGTGGGGAAACCCGCTGTCGCTCCTCGCTCTGGTCCCCTCATCCCACCCGCTGTGTTAGTGAGAAACCGTCGGCGAGAACTTGTCACTGGGCGCGGGACGCGGGACGATCCGGCTTGGGGGTGAAAGTCCGGGGAGGCGCGGCCGGAGCTGCCGAGGGCCCTGCGTGGGTGCGGGCGTATGAGTGTGTGTGTGTGAGTGTGTGTCGCTCCGGGTCCACGCTCATGCACACACCCACACGCCCGCTCTCCGGGTCTGCACCCTCGGCCGGCGGGAACCTCCGCGGAGCCTGCCTTGATCACCCAGCACCAAGTGCAACTGAAAAAGTTTCCCCAGCATCCCAGGTAGGAGTCAGGCAGGCTGCGGGGTCCAGGCAGCGGAGGGCACGGAGGACCTGGTAAGCAGAGGCCTCCATCCCGCGGTGCTCCTGCCTTTGGACTTGGGAAACCCAGTGCAGGCCTTGACCTCCCACTCCCATCCGAGCTCACCATCCCTGTCCCCGCGGATGCACCCTCCCCTACATCCTAAGCTGGCACCACCTTGATGCACAGCTCCCGGGGTTGATTGCTACTCTCCAGCCCAGCCCCGCCCCACCCACCCCGTCTTCTCGTATTCTCCCCTGGTGAGTATTTCTAGCTCTCTCAGAGCAGGCACCTGAACCTCCCTGACTTTTCCAAGAGTAGGAAGACATCTCTGCGTGGGCCGTGAGGGTTCTAACTGTGCCCTACTGTATTCCACATCTTGAGGGATAAAAACAGGTAACTTTTAAAATCAATGTCTCTTGAGCTCCAGGAGACCTCAGCCCCCCCTGAGGAAACTGAGGATGGGATTGCCTTCCTCCTTATAGGCCTCTTTCTGCCCTCTTTTCTTCCCTGTGGCCCCTTTCCTGCCTCACGTAGGTTCATTCCATGCTCTTTCCTTCCTGTCCTCCACCAACAACTGAGCTCAGGAAAGAATCTGCTAACCTCCGTGCACTGCAAACTTTAAGCAAAGGAATGAACCTGTCAGGGTGGAGTTTGAGGCACAAGTGAGCCAGTGCAGAAGGAATTTGAGGGTGGGAGGGGGCCTTCCTGAATCTCGTGGATTCAGTCTATATAAGTAATCACTTACTGTATTTATAAGACCAGCTTAAACTGAACATTGTTTCTCTTTAATCAATACCGAACAGTATAGTTCAGTTCAGTAACCATTTGAGGGTAATAAACCAAGCTAGGTGCTTGTTGGTCACACTCCTAGAGAAGACAATGACATAGAAACAAATACTCCTTATAAATGCAATAGAAGAATCTCAAATGTATTGCAAAAACATAGACGAGACGGCAATTAATTTGGAAGGCGAAGGGCAAATTAAGGACAATTTCTGAGTAAAAGATGACATTAGGCTTGGAGAAACAAATGGGAGTTTGGCAGGCATTTGGAGGCAGAGCAGCTGGGTGGAGGATTTGGCAAAGGCAGGGAGGTGTGTGCTCCTCCGATGGAAAGTCAGGTGAGGCAGGAGTGTGGGGTGTGACAAGAGATGCAGGAGCAGAGCAAGTCTGGAGTTGGACTGTGAGGGGCCACAGATGCTGTGCAAAGGTGTTTAAACCTAATGCTTTCTAAGCAGGAAAGAAAGAGTTGTCGTCTGTTTCAGAAAAATAACTGGCGGACACAAGGAGACTACACTGGAGGGAAAAGAGCCCGGGGCTTGGACATGTGTCTTTGTCAGAGGAAGTCTTTCTTTCTTTTTTTAAAAAGATTTTATTTATTTTATTTTTAGAGACAGGGGAAGGGAGGGAGAAAGAGAGGGAGAGAAACATTAATGTGTGGTTGCCTCTCACATGGCCCCCACTCAGGACCTGGTCCGCAACCCAGGCATGTGCCCTGACTGGGAATCAAACTGGCGACCCTTTGGTCTGCAGCCTGTGCTTAATCCACTGATTTACACCAGCCAGGGCAGGAAGTCTTTCTTACAAACTGATTCAGAACCTCTCATCCAGAGTGTTTGTCCCCCATCCTTTAATGACCAGCACTTTTTTTTAATTGGGGAAAGTGATTCCACATAGGGCATTATATTACCAAATTCTTATTTTGCCAAAGGAAGCCATTAAAAAAATCCATCCACTATACCACTATTTCATAAGAATGGAAGACATTTTAATACCAAGAAAAGCATGAAGTCTAACCTTGCAAGATGAAGGCAGTCCTTTACATTTAATAAATTTAGATTCATGAAAAACTTGCGATCTTGTCCTCCTTTTTCTCTGTCATCATGGATTGTCCCTGTCCTGCAGGACGGTGTTCGAGAACAAAGCGTTCGGATCACTTTGTCCACCCTCACTCTGCAGGGGAGGAAATGAGGAAGCCCAGCATAAATGAGTGAGCTGTGTGCACACAGAGGGACGGTGGGACCGCAGCACAACTCCCCGCACCTCACAGTACCGTCCTTCCCACCCTCACTACTCCTCCATGTGGCCTCTTGGCCCGGCCGCACAGGTGTCCATCCCGAATCTCTAGAATTCCCTTCTGATGCTGGACATTTTGCTGTACTCTTATTCCGTCATGCCTAAATAACCATACCAAAGCTATTTTCAAGGTTCTCCCTTGCACGAAGTTGGTCTAGTTCATCTTTTCCTTATTTGATATGCTGTTTTGCATCATCACTTAACTAGTTTGTGTTAGCTGAACTCATTCCCTGCACCTTCACTGATTAGGAATAAAATATAAACAGATTATTCACTTCCTGAAAGATGGTAATGATGTCCTCTTTTAACATTATTTTTGGAACTGTGATGCTGCTGCTCCAATATCTAGCATAGTTCCGGGAGCATTTTAGGTATGATTGAACTTACACATGAAAAAAACTGACTTATTCCCAGCCCACAAAGGCTTCTTTATATGCTGCCTCTCCTCTCCTTGGAGTTCACTAAAGAAGCCCCCTTGTTTCTGTGGGTTGAGCCTCCCTAGTATCAAAAAGCCACAGACTTAGCCGCAGCGATCAATGTTCTAAACCATAAATCGGGAGAGATGTGGAAGCCTGCCAGCCCTTGGGGCCCCCAGGCTGAGAGGGGGCTGTCCCAGGAAACAGCGTAGGGTGGCTGAGGTCCTGGTGGACTCCATCAGTAACTGCTCAGAAACGGCTGCGTGTTTAGAACACATGATTTCTGATGATCACAGACAAAAGGGCACAAAATGATTAATTCTCTCTGGTCATAGGAACATCCACAGTAGGTAAAAGTTTACCAAAACAAATGCAAAAGACCTCTCTCGTTTTGCTTTAGGGGAAAAGGTACACCTGTAACAGGTGAAAGGACATAGATCAGAGATGTGTATAATTGGAAGTTAAAGGAGGGCTGACTAGTGTAGGTACCATTTTTACTATATAAACAGATGTAAAAAATATACTCTTTCTGAAATGTACAAGTTGTCCATAAATACTTTTTAGCAGTATCAGTTCAACACCATCAAGCTGACTTCTTCTGTATTCTAAAGGAATGGCTTCGTGTTGTTGGTTGAAGGCAGAGCAAATGCAGAGATGAGAGGTTTTGTTTCAGCAATTTTGCTAGAATTGAGGTGAACTGACCTAAGGCATTTTGGCTCTTAGAGGTGGGTGAGGTCTGTAGGTTTCCTCCTGTGCAACCTCCCTACCAAGAGTGATGTCACTACGGAGTTTTCAGGAAGAGTTCTGCCGCTCGCTCACAAATATACTAGTAACTGGGTTCTGTTACACAGCTTTTCCTGTGAGCTTGATGAAGTCCTACCTCTGTGCTTTCAGGCCTCTGGGGAGGACTCAGGTGACCTCGTCCGCTTCAGGTTCTGGTGTTCTCCTGCAATCAGCCGGAGAACTAGAAAAATTCTGCTCCACAGGCCAATAAGCGGCTGGGCTCAGTAAACCCTTATGTCCTGTTAATGGAAAGGTAAAAAGAACCTGTACATTATTTTTTCCAGTCCACATATCTTAAGCCCCATTTCTATTTCATCAGTAAGAATGATTTCTAATATTCCTTATGGTGATTAGCACACCGTGGAGGACCTATCTGAGAGGGCGAAAGTTGGACCCGCTCAAGAGGTGAGCTCTCAATTACAGGTGGTGAAATGCTAACTAAAGACCTCTGGAGAGCATCTGCCTGAATAGGGCACTTCAGGTGCTAACCAGCCATTGCAGGGCGTAAGTGACAACCCACACACATCACCGGGTATGTGTTGAAGTATTTTAGCATTATGAGTGGTATCATAACACATTTAGGGCCAAGTACACACAACAAAGTGTCCATAATGCTTTTTATTTGCCCACGAATGTTTGTCACAACCAGGTTTGTGTTCCTGCTTATATTGTAGAAAAGTGAGATAGTTTGGAGCTTCTTAATAATCCAGATTAATGACAAGGATTTTCAAATTATTTTACAAAGAAATAAATATGCAGTGTCTATGACCAGCTGCTTTAGGCCGTGGCAGTCAAGCAGAGTCCTAGGCTGTGAGCCAGCAAACATTATCTGTAAAGGGCCAGATAGTGAACATTTTAGGCTTTGTGACTTTGTGGACCATATCGTCTCTGTCACAACTACTCAAGCCATAGACAGTGTATAAACAAATGAGCATGTTTGTATTCCGATAAAACTTTAGGCCACAGTTTACCAACCTCCATCCTAAGCCAATCCTGACAAGGCTTCGCAGAGACTTTGTAAGTTTTCAGATGACGAAAACTTTTCAAGTGCCCTCCCTCTGTGGTACTCCCCTCCCACAAACCACAGTAACTGCCCTTTTCTGTATAGTGGCCTTGGATCATTCTTTACTGTTTGAACAAGGCACTGACAATACTCATTGACAGAACGCCCCCCCAACCTAGACTATTCTGGGAAACTGGGAAAATGTGGGTGCCATTAAATGGAATACAAAAATTAAAAGGAAGATCCAGTCAGTGGTAAGACCACAGGTTTCTTTTTGGACAAGAAGAGATGTCCAACTGGCCATTAGAACTACTCCAGAGGTAGAATTTCTTTATAGCAGCATCGCTAAGATATTACACTATATATTATTTATATTCTTAGTAAATTAAGATGTAATTCATATACCACAAAATTTACTCTGTCAAAGGACACAGTGCAGTGGTTTGTAATATATTCACACTGTTGTATATCCATTATCACTATCTAATTTTAGAACATTTTCATCACCTGCGAAATTAAATCTATGCCATTAGCAGTCACTCCTCATTCCCCCTCCCTTCAGCCTCTGGAAACCACTAATTTACTTTCTGTCTCCGTGGACTGGAGGTAGATATTTGAGACTCACAACATGAAAGTGGTGTGTAAAACAGAAAGGAAGGGGACTCACCAAGGGGGAGAACTTCGCAGGAAAAGGAAATAGCCAGAGGACAGCTATTCGAGGGGATGAGAGGGTGGGCTTGTGCACTTGAGTTCTTTCTAGGCCTACCTCACCAGGTGGCTGGGATGTTAAATGGCTTCTCTCATTCCCCAGTTTTAGCAGCAACCTGAGATCTGACCAACTGGTGAACACCGAGGTCAACAAAAACACCCATTGATTTACCTGAGACTGGGCTTCTTGTGTAGTGGGAACACTCTTCATGTTATCCCCAAAAATTATCATCTTAAACTAACCTTCTAGATCTATGCTATCAGTTATGTAGCCGCTAGTCATGTGTAAACTATGTATGAGCCACATATGCCTATGTAAAAATAAATTTTATATTATTTAAAATTACATTAAAAGACTTAATGTGGCACTAGCCACATTCCACATGCTCAATAGCCACATGTGGCCATTAGCTACCACCTTGGACAGGGCAGACACAAAACATTCTCATCATCACAGAAAGTCGTATTGAGCAGCACTGTTTTACAAGATAACGAGTTTTCGAGTTGCAGGTTGTTTTGTAATGACTACATTCCTCATTTGGCTTAACGCAGCACTTCTTCCCATTTCGCTCTTGTGCATCCCTGTCTGAACTATTGTCCAAACAGAGCCCAAGCCTTCACCATCTGGTTTCCAGCAACGCCCACTTACGTGTACGTATGTCTCCTCCATCTGAATCTCTGATGACATGGCAGAGCTTAATGTCAAGTATTTTTTGATAAGCGTTTGGGTATTTTCTATGCCTATGCTCATTACTGCTACAAATAAAATCAATGAAGTCATACTAAATGAGCAATTACACAGATATAAATAATACTCCTAGTTACCATATGCATATCCGCGCATAACAAACAAGAGATCCATGAAAGGTAAAAGACAGCACTGTAGGTTTTATCAGTCTTCCTGTTGCTGCTGTAACAAATCACAGCAACTGTAGTGGCTTATAACGCAGACTTATTCTCTTACAGCTCTGGAGGTCAGAAGTCCAAAGTCAGTTTCACTGGACTAATGCCAAGTTGTTGGTAGGGCTGGTTCCTCCTGGAGTCTCTGAGAGGAGAATGATGTCCTTGACTTTCCCACCTTCTGGCGGTCACCTGTATTCCTTGGCTCATGGCCCCTCCTTTGTCTTCACGGTGCAGCTGTACAATCTCTGCCCCAGTCATCGCACCATCTTTTCTTTTTGTAGTCAAGTCTCTCTCTGCTTCTCTCTAATAAGGACACTTGGGACTTCATTTAGGACCCACCTAGATAATCCAAGAAAATCTCCCCAATAGAAGGTCCTTAATTGGATCACACCTGCAGAGTCCCTTTTGCCATACAAGGTAAAATTCACAGATTCTGGGGATTAGGACCTGGATGTCTTTGAGATATTGACTCAGTCTACCCCAAGGTTACATCAAGTTTCTTATTGGTTGAAGAAAGTGTATTAATAATTTAATTTTTCAGGGCTTCAAATTCAGAAGTTTGACAATTGAGATTAAAGCAGAAAGTTTTTCTTTGTTATCATGTTGACAGGTAGTAAAAAAAAAATGTCTGATGATGCTGGTGACACTTTAGCCACGGGAGACAAAGCAGAAATTACTGAGATGCCCAACAGCGATTCTTCCCCTGAACATGCAGAGGTGCCCTGTGATTCGGCGAGGACTTCAAATGAGCCAACCCTGGCTGACCCCGGAGGTGAGGTGCATGAAAGTGCAGCCATTCGGGGTACAGAGACTGATGACACTGGGCACCCTGAGCAGCCCCAAAACCCCAGTGCCATGGACCCCCCACTCAATGGAGAAGTGACTGAGGATGTGCTTGCTGAATGCATTGACGCTGTCAGCCTCGAGGCAGAACTTGGATCCGAAATACCCCTGAGAGAACAGAATAATCCGGTAGGAGTGGCTTCTTTGATTCCGTTCAACCTAAGTTCTTACTGATACGTACCGTGGGCACAGATTTGTGCCAATCTCTGTGGGTGGTGTTGGAGGTTCAGAATATAGTGTGGTATCGCCTCTGTCATTAAAACTGTGTTGTGTGGTGAGAAAAGAAATATTTGAGAATATTTGGTCATTGTATTTGCATCTTTAAAATATTTTTTATATTTGCATTTTTAAAAATATCTTTATTTATTTACTTTTAGAGAAAGGGGAAGAAAGGGAGAAAGGGAGAAAGAAAGGGAGAGAAACATCGGTGTGTGGTTGCCTCTCGAGTGCCCCCCACTGGTGACTTGGCCCTCAAGCCAGGCATGTGCCCTAACTGAGAATCGAACTGGCAATGAGTTTGGTTTGCAGGCTGGCACTCAATCCACTGAGCCACACCAGCCCAGGCATATATTTGCATTTTGATAATGGTGTTATTAATAATAATAATAGCCATCAATAACTAGATACATCATGTGTGCCAGGCACTCTGTTAGCTACTTTATATGTTATGTAATTCACTACGTACAACAGTTCTTGGAGGTTCTAAGATAGATGCTGTTAATTTCAATTTATAAACAAGGCAGCCAGGCTTAGAGATCTTAAACAACCCAATAAGATATTAAGCTACTCAGTAGTACAGTGGAAAATATTGTAATATTGAACGTGAGTCCAAATTATTAATGAGCCTGATTCTACCCAAACCAAGTCAATGTTGCTTTAATGTCACTTAAATTTTAATGCAAATTTACAGATCCACTATGGAGATCTTAGACATTCGGATCACATTCAGACATTGAGATCCTCATACACTTTCCCACCTCCCAGGGGGTCAGAGGCAGAGCGTGTTCACGGCCGGTTGCCTTCAGTGCCTGCCCTGCACCTGTCTCTCTGGGGGGAAAGACCACTGTCTCCCAATTGATACCTTGTGCCCATCAACACAACCACTGAGCTGGGTACCATTGGCATCTTCATCTCCATCTTTGTGGGGATGGGTGGGGGTGGGGAGGCACCCAGCCTGAAAGGAGGAAGGTGGCTGCTCGCCTCCAACCCTGCCTTCTGGAGTGATGGGGGAGCAGACCCCTGCCCTGCTTGTCCAGAACTATGCCACCTCAGATCACCTCTTTTAAAAATTTTTCTAAAGTTCCCCCCCTTTTTCCCCATTACTCTCCCCTGACCTGCCCATCCCCCCTCTCCCACATTCCTCCCACTGTCCCCAACCACCGTTTTCCTTGTTCGTGAGTCCTTTATACATGTTCCATCACTTGACTCTTCTCCTTCTTTCCCCGGTTGTCCCCCTCCCTACTCCCCCCTGGTCACTGTCAGCTTGTTCTTTATTTCTGTGTCTCTGGTTCTATTTTTCTAGCTTGTCTGTTTTGTTGATTAGGTTCTATTTAACCTAATTAGATCCTGCCTGGCTTATCTCCCTTAATATAATATTCTCTAGTTCCATCCATGCTGTCACAAAGGGTAGAAGCTCCTTCTTCCTTTCTGCTGCATAGTATTCCATCGAGTAAATGTACCACAGTTTTTTGATCCACTCATTTACTGATGGGCACTTAGGTTGTTTCTAGCACTTGGCTATTGTATATAATGCTGCTATGAACTTGGAGGTGCATGGGTTGTTTTGAATTGGTGTTCAGGATTCTTAGGGTATAATCCCAAGCAGTGGAATTGCCAGATCAGAAGGCAGTTCCCTTTTTAGCTTTTTTAGGAAATTCTTCACTGTTTTCCACAGTGGCTGCACTAGTCTGCATTCCCACCAACAGTGCACTAGGGTTCCCTTTTCTCCACAACCTCACCAGCACTTGTTGTTTGTTCATTTGTTTATGATGGCCCTTCTGACTGGTGTGAAGTGGTATCTCACTGTGGTTTGCATCTGCATCTCTCTGATGGCTAGTGATGCTGAGCATCCTTTCATATGTCCCTGGGCCCTCTGTACGTCCTCCTTGGAGCAGTGTCTGTTCTGCTCCTTTGTACATTTTTAATTGGATTGGATTAAAATGTGGAGTCATGTGAATTCCTTATATATTTTGGAGATTAAACTCTTGTCTGAGGTATCACTGGCAAATGTTTTCCCATATGGTTGGTTCCCTTTTCATTTTGCTGATGTTTTCTTTAGCCATGCAGAAGCTTTCTAATTTGATGTATCCCATTTGTTTAGTTTTTTCTTTATATCTCTTACTCTAGGGGACATACCAGTGAAAATATTGCTGCATGGAATATCCAAGATTATCCTGCCCCTTTTCTCCTCTAGGACTTTTATGGTGTCATGACTTATATTTAAGTCTTTTATCCATCTCGAGATTATTTTTGTGTATGGTGTAAGTTGGTGATCAAGTTCATTTTGTGTAACTGTCCAGATCTCCCAACACCATTTGTTGAAGAAGCTGTTTTTAATTCATTTAATGCTCCTGCCCCCTTTGTCAAATATTAATTGACCACAGAGACATGGGTTTATTTCTGGGCTCTCTATTCTATTCAGTTGGTCTATGTGTCTGTTCCTATGCCAGTACCAGACTGTTTTGATTACCATGGCCTTGTAATATAGTTTGATATCAGGTATTATTTTCAGGTTACCGCCTTGAAGGGACTCTGCTGCATGCTGTGAGGGAGGGGAACTAAATAGGAAACCAGATGGGGCAGAGGAGGGCTGGGCTTTCATTCTCCAACCTATCAATAAGTCTGTTAATTTGAGCAAGACACCTAATTTCTCTGTGCCTGTTTTTTCCTCCATAAAATGAAAAATTTGCACATGAAGACCACTAGTCTTCTGACTAATGTTTTATGATTTTTATTCAAAATTTACTACTTTTTAAATTTTTCTGTCTCAATTACAGTTTACATTTAATATTGTTTTTCAGTTGTTTAAGATGTACAGCATAGTGGTTACATAGGCCCTTTGCAAAGTGTTCCCCCAATGTTTTTCTTTCCCACCTGGCACCGAATATAGTTATCACAGTGTTACTGACTGTATTCCCTATGCTGTACTTCACATTCCTGTGGCTATTCTGTAGCTACCAATCTGTACTTCTCAATGCCTTCACCCTTTTCACCCAGGCCCCCAAAATTGACTTCTTAGTTTCCTTAGAACGGTTCTAAGATGCAATGAGCTTTCTCAGGGAAGTGAGTGTTTTCCAAGACTGGAGATGTTTAAACAAAACCAAACAGTTATTTTGCAAGGATGTCAGCTAGAAGTTTGGATCCGATATGGTCAACATAAACACAGTTTTGTTTCTGAATTCAGAGTTCACAGACCCTTGGAAGCCACCCATGGACCCTACGAGGGATTAAGAACTCCCACTAGAGGTTCTCAACCCTAGCTCAACATTTCAACCCTGGGAAAGCTTTCAAAGATACTGATGCCAGAGTTTGTATTAAGTTGGGTCCTCCAGAGAAGTAGAACCAATAAGATAGATATTTATTTCTCCTGAATCTATGAATATCTATATAGCTAACTCTGGAGCCCATTTTCCCTCCACACTCTCTGTTGTGGAGAGCACTGCTTCCCAGTTTTTATTATGAGTTCCACTGTTAATAAATACCCTTGTCCATGAAGAAAACTGTACCTTAGCCGCTCCATTCTGACATGAGATGACTTAAAGAAACTACACAAGTTCCACTAATTAAAAATATATATGCTCCTGATGCCTGGTTATACATTTTAATTTCAGACTTATCAGAATTATAACAAGCTTATTGATAAAGATATCACAATAAGAAGTCAGTCTGCTCCTATACTTCTGCCTTCTCACATTGTTTGAGCAAATTGAGTGGATCCTCTTTTGAAAGCATTTTCTAGATCACCTTGATGGTAGGAGGATGAGCTGATGGGCAAACAGACACTCCCCTCCCCTCCCCACACAGCCCTGGTAGCGTTCAAGAACTTTGCAGAGGCGAGCATTTCCTCAGAAGGAAGTGCCACAGAAGTACCTGGATGGAAGTACAAGCATTGGGACTGGGGCTCTGGACCTGTGAGTGTGGTGTTGCCCTCGGGAGCTCAGGGAGCTGAGCTGTGGGAGGAACACCTGTGAGCGTGTTTGGTCTCAGAAAGGCAGAAAAGCCGTTAGGGCTGCTTGGAAAGGGTATCGCGCTCACCCGGGTCGTGTTTAAACCCTTCTAGGTGCTTGCAAATTTAGTCTCTTTTTAAGGATTCCCAGAAAAGGTGATGCAGCTATCTCTTTTGGTAAGCTATTCTTTTCTCTTAAGTTAATATGAGAAGTCAGTTTTGTGCCTCATCTTCAAGCACTGCTCATTGGCTCTTTTAGTTGCCCTTTGTTGGACACTTACAAGATGTCATCTTGCAGCAATGAAAATGACTCTTCTGATCCCAGAAAAGGATGGGCTCTACAAAAAACCTTTAATCAAAAGTTTATGTGCAAGTTGGCTATTTGGATTTTGAACACAGTTTCCCAAGGAAAGGCAGGTCCTATAGAAAACAGCTGAACTCAAAAGCCTATTTGATCCCAGGTATATCGGAGCTGAAAAGCATCTCATCACTCCTTTTAAAAAACTTCTATGGGAAAATGCCTGCTCAAAAAAAAACCTGGTAGAATGTCATTTGAGAAAGTATAAACCTGTATCTTCTAGGACACACTAGATTTGGTAATAATGTGCTTAAATGTGTATATATTTCTCTAAGTAGTTTACATCTGTGTAGTGACTTTGTGTATGGGGCTCCTTAAAGCCTGCATCATTCACTTCACCTTTATCTAAGGCCACTCAGTGGCCACAACTTGGAATGGAGGGCAGTGTGGCCAGGAGGGGACCTAGTGAAGAGGAAGAGACCAGTGGTTCTGCCAGCTGGAGGCTCTCTGCTTTGAAGGGTCACACCACTCACAGTTTATGCCCTCAGTGAAGGTATCTCATCTTTGCTGCTCCTTCTCTTTCCCATCCCTTCCAATGTACAGACTAGAAGCCACTGACTTGAGGCTTCCCACAGGAATCCACACTACAGCATCCATGCAACATGTTGGTCCAGGTTCTCGAAGGCCTCGGCCAGTCCCCTGACATCGTGTGTTGTGCCTGGGTATCTGAGTAGTTGGCTCTCTTCAGGATGCCTACAGGCTAGTTGGGGAAGGCAGTGCCATTTACAGTGATTGTAGCATGTCCTGTAGCACTAGGTAGAATAGCTAGATAGTAAAGGCACAAGGGAAGCCTTAGGTGGAACATTTACTCTTAAGGAGTCAGGAAAGTCTTCAGCCTCAATTCAGAGATGGTTGTCTTGGGTGCTAATCAGGAGTGATGTTTATTCCCAGATATCTTATAGGACCGTATAACGCACTGATCAGTTGTCCCCTAAAAGATCCCATCTAGATCAAACATCCCTAAATTCTGAACACCAAGAAATGTGCCCAAAGTGAAAAAAAATGTCATCCCTACTGTTCAATGCCAATGCGTAAGGACAATTATGAAGGTAAAGAATTCCAGAAATACTCTCAAAGGAAAACATAGACTACCACCAAATAGGTTCTCCCCCTAGAAAAGGAAGAGCAGAATGCTTAAGTTATAAAATTGCTATTGCCTTGGCCAGTGTGGCTCGGTTGGTTGGACCACCATCTAGTAACCAAAAGCTTGCAGGTTTGATCCTCAGCCAGAGTGCGTATGGGAGGCAACCAATTGATGTTTCTCTCTCATATTGATGTTTTTCTCTCTCCCAACCCCTCTCCTTCCCTTGGTCTTTCTGAAAAAAAAAAAAAAAAAAAAAAAAAAAAAAAAAGCAGTGAGAAAATGTCCTTGGGTAAGAATAAAAAATAATAGCCCTGGCTGGTGTAGCTCAGTGGATAGAGCGCGGGCCTGCGAACCACACAATCGCAGTTTGATTCCCAGTCAGGGCACATGCCTGGTTTGCAGGCCAGTTCCCAGCAGGGGACCCAGGAGAGGCAACCATACATTGATATTTCTCTCCTCCTCTTCCCTTCCTCTCTAAAGATAAATAAATAAAATATTTAATATAATAATAATAAAAAGAAAAATAAAATTAAATTGCTGTTGAAGGAGGCAAAGAAGAGAGAACATAGGCCAAGACCTGCTGATAGCAGATTTTCACCTCTTCAGGGTGAGCAGAGTTTGCTCCAATTGTTTATTTCCCCTTTTAGCCTACTGTCCATGATGGCGCTCAGTTTTTGACTTGAGCAATCAGAGGGATGCTGGTGCCATTTGGCCCTGGAGGGCAGTGCTTCCTAAATCTGGAGGTGCACTGGAATCACCTGGGAAGTTTGTTACAGATGTTTAAATGACCTCTGTTGAGTTCTGGAGACTCCTCTTGATCACACCAAATCTGATCTGCTGTACCAGATGAGGCTGTTCTTCTGGGATTGTATAAGGTGGGGGCAGGGAGTTTAGAGAGTCGTCATATGATGACTTGTTTTCTCTGTAAAACAGGATGTGAAGCTATATGATAAAGGCGGTGAGGATTACATGGCATGAGGGTGAGAAAAAAGCTTTAAAATAACCGTATTTAACAATAGAAGTATGAGTAGATCTACTCTGCCTACTTTATAGTCTCATAAGTATGTGACATTAAAGCCATGTAAAGTGGAGACAGTACTCATGATGAGATAGATTTATAATTCATGCTGAACATTCACTTTATGTGATTTTGGTATCAAATGTGCACACATAGTTATTTGAGTATTTGCCACTGATAAATATTCTGTGTAGCTGATCGGGAGGTCACAGCTCAATGTCAAAGGAGCTTGATTAATAAATCAACTGAAGTCACTTATTATACTGCAAAAAGTTCCAGATTCATTTCACACTTATTTCCATTTGCCACTCAATTATCAGCTGTCAGAACATATTAAGTATTGTAAATTTGAGTCAGAAGCTGTCACTCTTAAGTGTATTAACTCTCCTTAATCACATAGGTAGTGATTTTTCCTGCAAAAGAATGATATTCATCATCAGCTTATATCTGTCTTCATGATGCATAAAATTGCCATTGGCTTCCATCGCCAAAATGAAGTAAATCAATGTAGACACCAAAAATGAAAGCTTATAGTTATGAGTCATGAGTATTACCACATATGTTAACAGGCTTGTCATTGTTTCCAACAGAAACAACATGTCACCCAACTTTCAAAGCTTTTTACTTCCTAGTATTAAAAATGTAATTGATTATTATTATTATTACTAGTTAGCATTTATGAAGCATTTATTAAGTGCCAGGCACTGTGCTCACAGCTTTATAAGAATTATTTATTTTAATACTCACAATAAACCTCTGAGGCTTTTGGTTCTTATCCTACCATACCTTGTGTTCTGTGATGGAGGAAAGAGTGGCTTAAAGGACTTGGGTAACTTGTTGCCCAAAACAACAGAGCCTGGACTGAAACCTGAGCAATTTAATTCCATAACCTTTTCTCTTTACCAACAGCCTACATGGATGAATAGTGTTTAATGTTTACTAAGTGAATCATTTAGGAATGCATTTGGGTGCAAGTAACTAAAATCCAACTTATAATAGTTTATAAGATAGCAATTTGGTTTTTTCTCTCTTAACAGAAAGAATGGAGATAGGCAGGTACTCACTTTGGTTTAGTAGCTCAGTAGTGCCAGGACTGGCATTTGGGATTCCCTGGCCTTTCTCTCATGGCAGCAAAAATACCTGCTTCTCTTTTGAGCATTGTCCCCACATTCAGGACAGGAAGAAGGAAGGGGGAAAGAGCTGGCACTAGCCATAACTGTATAATTTGTTATGAAAAGCACAACTTTCCCAGTTATTGCTCATTAATTTAAAAACTGTTTCACATGTCCAGTCATATCTGCAAGCATGACAGGCAGCAGGGAGAAGGGAGCTGGAGGCCACTGATGGTCCAGCCTTGGGTCAAGAGTTATAGAACCTTCAAACTTTGTAGGAATTTTTCACTTCTTTCTTAAGTAGTTTCTTTCTTTTTCTTTTTGGAGCTATGACTCTTCAACTCGTAAGGTGTTCTTGCCTTGTTTTCTAGAATGTATTTTTAGAGAGTAAGAGAAAGCTGTGGTTTTACTAATTGGATCTGAATGCATTGGTTGCAAGTAACAGAAACTGTTGTACACTTAAGAAAACAGATGAGTTTCAGTTATTTACTCTACAAATAAATGTATTAAGCACTCATTATATGCCATGTGCTCCTCTTGGCTCTGGGGATACATCAGTGGAGAGGAAGGAGAGAAAGAAACAGACAGACAGACATAAACACACTATGCAAGAATGTCATGTAACCCAAGGATAGTAATGCAGCAGAGCCTACTCCACCAAGAGGAATAGGAACCAGGGACTAAGAAGGTATGAAGAATTCAAACGGCGTCTCTGAATATATGTCTTTAAACTATGCTCACTCTGCTTCCTCTCAATTTCTAGTCTGCATGGTAGATGGAATATGGTCATCCTACACCACCTGAGTTTTCATCTTCTGTTCAAACAGTCAACTCAAGCAACCCACCTCTCAGTCCCAATTCAAATACCTAAACAAAATAATTTGAATCTCCTAAGCCCACGGACAGAGAGAGACAGGGTTACAGAGGTCATTGTGAGTGGGATGGACACTTTGAAAGGTGTCTACCTTAAAAGGCTACCCGTTGCCGCCACCATCTCCAGGCTCATTGATGCTTTTGTAGTTGCTTTGCCCATTATCACTCATAGCAAAGCTCCTCCTACCACCCCAGAGACCTGAAAGTTAACTCTACCTTGAGGAACACAGTTGTTTAGTTCTATAAAAATTGTATGAGTCAAAAGTTGTTTTGAACCTTCTCATACCACCCTGTACCCTAATATATTAAATCATTTCTCCCCTGTCTTCCAGATCATGGGAGGTCTTGATTAACATAAAGCTCCCTTCTTCTCACTTCAAGCCAAGCCTTCAGAAGCTAACACCACTAGTAACCAATTTGGTTCCAAAGTGCATAGCGCAATGTGGGTTGCTATATTCTTTTATGACCCTTATCAACTGCAAGCCAGTGAGACATGGCTGTTGGTGATTTAAAAAACAAAATGAAACAAAACACTTCTCTTTGTTTCAAACCAATGCATGTTTTTCCATTCAGGGATAAACTGAATTGCTGACCTATGACTGATCGGTTTTTCTACAGGCTATGGATCCCCCTCCACACGGAGGGGCGTGGGCAGGCTGGGGCTCTTGGGGCAAATCTCTGCTGTCGTCCGCATCTGCCACAGTAGGTAAGCACTGTATCTTGCGTTTGAATGGGTAAAGTTCAGAAGCCTAGTAGGATACAATAGTTCAGTCATACCATGTGCTAACAGTGTTTAATATTAGCCCATGAGATAATAAATACCTTTAGCGCTTATTGTTCTAAGTGCTTCACATATGTTAATACATTTATTCCTCAAAATAACCTGATAAGAAGGTACTCTTGCTTTCTCCATTTGAGAGAAAAGGAAGCTGAATCACAGAGGCAAAGACCTTGTCCAAAGTCAGGAGCAGCTGAGTTGAGAACCAAGTAGGACGGCTTTTTACGTAAAAGCCACTATGTTATATTGACTCTTAAAATATAAGATTTGGGTTTTTAAAAATATACCATTAAACCTTTGTGCTTATCATTCCACTTGAATGTTTTAAAATCTACAACTAACTTATCCCCTAAAAGAATCTGTAAAAGGCACTTTGGAAGTGTGTATGAAAGGCACTTCGTCGGCAGAGCACTGAAACACAAACACGAATAGAAAAGGTGCGGGTAGAAAGGATACATGCGCTCTGCGCAGTGACTGATCCAGAAAAGCCGGAAGAGATAACTGCCCAAGAAGGAGCGTGACCGCCGTGTGAGACCCCACTGCCACTATCCCTCTTCTGTGTGGTTGGGGGAGATATGGTTCCTCCAAGATTGGATGGCATTTGTACATTGGCCTGTAAAATATCAAAATGATGTTTGGCATATCCTCTTGCACTCGTTTCAACTGCTAACAAATCACCACACATTTAGTAGCTTAAAGCAACACACGCCAGTGAGCGCACAGCACCTGTGGAGCAAGCGGGTGTTCAGGCACCAGACAGCTAGGGCCTCTGCTCACTGCCTCACCAGGCTGAAGTCAAGGTGTCAACCCATACATTCTCACCTGTGTTCAGGGTCATCTTTTAAGGTTATACAGGCTGTTGACAGAATTTAGTTCCTTACAATGGTAGGGCTTCAATTCCTGTTTTCTTGCTGGTCACTCTCAGCTCCTTGAAACTTCCCTCAGGTCCACCTTTAAAGTGAGGAACAGAATCTCCTTCTGACTCTAAATCTCTCACTTCAGAAAGGGCCTGTGGCATGTTAAAGATCACCTGATTAGTTCAGGCCCATCAAGGATGATCTCTATTTGATGAACTCAAATCCAACTGATTAAGGACCTTAATTAATTACATTTGTGGAAATCCCTTCACTTTGGCCATGTAATGTAACTTAATCTTGAGGGTGACAATCCCATTATACTCACACTCCTACGCACACTCTAGGGAGCAGGAGGTATTTTCACGGGGAGTGAACACCAGGAGGCGAGAATTTTGGGGGCCATCTCTCCATACCACCTACCCCACTGCCCTTGTCTATTTGAAGTCCTCATCAGTTATCCCACCAATTCTAGAAACTCAGTACCATTTTGTGGCTCTGGCTACATGATGGAATTCTGAAGTGTCTGAGTCGACATTTTTCTCTCGTTTGCACCGACGATGGTCAAAGGACACTCGAAGGAAATCGAAGACATTTTGAGATGTTGCCACTCACCCCAAGGGTCCCTTTGGACAAACTGGAGCCATCTTTAGAAAAGCAGAGACTGAACTTGTTCATCCCCCCTGGTCACCATGACCCTGATGCACACAAAAGCAATGTAACTGAATACCACCCGTAAGTTGCTCCTGCTGCATATTTTGGAGATTTCTGGTCCAGATGTGCTGTGACTTTACACAATAATAGTAGCTTAAATAATGCCAATATATACTTTACAACTAGATAACTATCTTTGTGGACCTGGTAGAGAACTAAAACATGTAGCATGAGGGGAGGCTGAAGTCCTGGGTTCCAAAGCTGGAAACAGGAAGTGGTGGTGGTCGGGAGTTGGACTCCCAAAATATAATAGGGATCACGAATGCGCTGCAAATGGAGAGGTGCCAGTGCTGGGCTCACAGCCTGAAACAGGGTTGGAATAGGGTTCAGCCATCTGTGAACAGAGGCTTGAAAAAGTTATGGGTAACATCCTGGATTGTGTTCTGTATTGAATCGAGAGCGGCAAGCTAGGCACGCCTTCCGTTATGTAGAGGTGTAATATCCACCAGGGCTTTGCAGTGTTAATAGTTTATTACCATAAGACAAAGAAACTTATTGGAAAACAGAGCACTCAGAGCAGTAGACAAGCTCTTGAAAGTTTATAAATTGCCTGTAGAAAATAAAAAAAGAAAATAACCATGTATTCCACTGCAGTTGATTGCAGTAACCTCATGTTACCCCCAGGGTAGTTCCAGTTGCAGACAGGAGTGCAAAACACATAGTCTGTGACAGAACACAGAGCTGTCAGTGCAGCACTAGAAACAGACACCAATACTTCTCAGCGTTGAAAAACTGCCATCACAATAGTTAGAACTGTTTAGAGTTGGCAGGAGAATTCCATATTTAGCTGTGTATAATGTGCTTCTATGCATAATGCACACACACATTTTAGTTCTAAATCCCATGTATAATTTGCGTTGTAATTATATAATTATAATTATGTACTACCCGTATAATTATATATGTATACATATAATTATACATGTTTATAATTATATATGTATACATACATATACATATATAATTATATGTATGCATATATACACAATTATGCATATGTGTATATGTGTATATAATTATATGTACGTATAATTGCATGGGAATTAGTATTACCCATGTATAATGTGCAACCTTATTTTTCCCTCAAACATTTTGGGGGGAAAGCGCACATTATACATGGCAAAATACAGTAATTGAAAAATGGAAACACTTAGAAGGTGGTTCTTTCTTGGAAAGAGCACTGTACCAGGCGTCATAAGAACTGAGACCAGTTCCTAACTGCTACTAGCTTGTGGTCACAAAGACTGTCACTAACTGGCTGCGTCATGCACTTCACCTCTCTGAGACTCAGCTTCCTTATTTGGAAAAGTGGGGTTGGGGGACTGTGACAAATTCTAAGGTTCCTTCCAACTTCTGGAACGTGATGATTCCCTATTCTGTAGCTACACATAGAAGGAGAAAGATACTTGTAACTACTGTGCTAAGTGGAAAAATACAGACAATTGACTGACTTTTTGCTACTCTGTATTTTTCTATTTTGTCTTTGTCTCACCATGCCGACCCAAAAGTTAAAGGAAAACGAGAAAAACTGACTTCCCAGTGCTTATGTAAAACCAAGCATTTCTCAGCCAACAATTATTTTTAGAAAGGCCATACCTGTCGCATTAGTTTCCTCCACAGCTGCACTGTCTTCACATTCTAAGAAGACTTGATCACCTGTCACCTGTGCCTTAGGACAAGTTCCTAAAATTCCATTTAAAAATGACTATTACTTAAGATCCAGGCAGAAACCAGAATGGGAAAGGGAAATGTAAAAAAGTAAGATTTTGATGACAATTTCAAAGTTATGCTGTGAGAACCAGGTGTGATTTTCCACAAGCACCTTAGAGACCTGACTCGTTCATAGAATAGACTAAGAGCGATAATCAATAATCAAACGAAAGTTGACAACGCTGAAACTGTTCTGCCAAGTAAAAGTTCTGTGGCAAAACAGAGTGCTGTATTCCTAGATACTACAAAAGACCTAAATGTTCATTTAAAATTCTAGTTTTGACAGTTGTATGAGTCCGCACACCTCCTGCAACAGCCTGAGGCGGGGAAGGCGCGTCTGATCTGCCTGTTTTCCTTTTAGAGTTACCACTGCCCACTCTGCCTCCTTTCCCAAGTTACACGTTTTTTTCCTTCTGCACATTTTAATGAAACCCTTCTGCCGGCGCTGCCAGAAATATTGACAGTGTTCGTTATAGAGAATGGCAAACTTCTCAAAATGATACTAACATGAGAACTCTTCGCTGTGTAAATCCCTATTAATGTCACATGAATTCATGTGACATTGATGATGAGATAAGAATTCTCAAGAGTCATGATTGGAGATTGATTCTTGGTCACTTCCTGCTGGTCCCACATGCTAAAGGACCCTCAAGTAGGGCACCCGCTAACTCATGCAGGGGGTTGGTTCCCTCATTTTAAGGTTGCTTTAATTTTTTTATATAACATTTCTTTATTTTCTTTTATATCATTGCTGTCTTTACTTTTTTTTCGAAAATGAATATATAAAGGAGAAACTATAGAAAGTAGGATTCACAATCCTTTATAATCTGTGACTATGGCCTAAGGGTTAATGAATTTCTGTTAGATGGCCAGGCAAACACTGTCAGTTCAGAAACACTTCTTGTCAATTTCAACCCCCAAGGGCAGTCTGGTGACAGAGGAGACATGGACCATCATCATGGAGCGGGAAGGGCTTTCTAAAGGGAAGGGCTTCCCAAAGGGGATCCCCTCTTTGCTGCACTGAAGTTTGCTGTAGCTGAGCACAGCAGTACCATCTGTGTGTTTTTCTAAACAACTGCTCCTTACAACTTCCTATAATATCTCAAATTCATTGATAGAAGAGGCTGAAATGCAATCAATACAAGGCGGGGCAAAAGTAGGTTTGTGCTGAGAATGCACAAAATAAGGTTTAGAGCTACCCAGGCACCCAGAGCTACCCAGAAAGCACCCCCAGAGCTACCCAGGCATCCAGACAGCTGCCCGGAACTGCCCTTGCCCTGCTGTGTTATCACTTGGTCACAGAGAGCCGCCCACCTACAACACATATTTTTATCCTGCAGTTAAAGGGGAGAACTCCCTTCATTATAGTTTTGATCTCAGTGGAACTCTCAAGAACAGGGCCTGCTGAAATTGTAGTGCCTTTTTAAAAAAGATTTTATTTATTTCTTTTTTAGAGAGGGGAAGAGGAGAGAAACATCAATGTGTGGTTGCCTCTCGCATGCTCCCTACTGGGGACCTGGCCTGCAGCCCAGGCATGAGCCCTAGAGTGGGAATTGAACCAGTGACCTTTCAATTTGCAGGCTGCCACTCAACCACTGAGCCACACCATCCAGGGCTGTAATGCTTTTTGAGAAGGAAAATTCCACTGGA